ATAAGTGGGGAGGGCAGGCCAAACCTACAGAGGTGATCTTGTCTGCTTAAAAGCTCTTCAGAAATTCATAGTTCTACAGTTGTAATAATGCAGTTTCACCTCTTTTCAAAAAAATCTTTGGGGTGTTAACTGTTGCACTAGTACTGAATCTTGTGGAATTCTTCCCTTTGACAAAAGAAAAATATACCGTGGAGGAAGTTTACCAATATTAACCTGTTGCTCTTTGCTTCAGAAATAGATGAAGAGATAGGCCAACAGCTCTTGGACTTCACTCCACAAATTGCTAAGAAAAATTTTGTATTTAAAAAGTGTACATAAAAACATGAGATGTTTTATGATTGGTATAAATCTGTAACATGTAATATTGTGGAGGAAATACTTAATTTTCAAGTGTTAATTTGAATTGCATTCTAATATTTCCCCCTAAACATTTAATGGGAAAAAAAAAAAAAAAAAAAGTAGAAAAAACTACCAATCTTTTAGATTTGGACTTACTTTAAGGGTTAGCTATTGAAATCTGTCAGTATGTGAGAGCACCTCGTGTGTGCCTGTATTAAAAAAAAATAATAAACCAGTAATGCATCTGAAAGCATGGTACTACAGTTATTTAAAATATACAACTTGCTAGCAAGCATAGTACAATCTATCTTTGCAACTTAAATCTAATTTTTATGTTTTATAGGCTACGGCACATTATGGTTTGACAAGTCAGCCCATAAACCAGTATCACTACAGATACTAATTCCTCCTCAGTGAAAGCAAAATCAGAAATTTTGCCATTTATGTTTAGTGTAAAATAGATGGCAGTGGGCACAGCGCACTGAGATAATTTAGTAGAAAGGGCCTGCTCTGCATTGTGTGCTCCTAATCTCTGCTAACAAAACCAATTCTCTGCCATAAGGATGAGTTAGGGAGAGTGAAACTGCCTCTGTATATTGTCACATTCTACCACTTTAAACAGAATGCAACAATAAGGCCTGTGGAGAACCAGCCACAGGAAGTAATGATTAATTTCAGTTAATCGAAATTGCCTCGCGTCAACACATGTATTACTTCTAACATTATGTATTCTTTCCAAGGTAGACAATCTGTCACACCCATACACTTCACTGACACACAGCATTCAGTTAAAGAAAATAATGTCAGTAGAGATAAGGAAATTAAATTAAATGATTTGCGGAGCCATTTCTTACCACTGGAAATAAAACAATATATTCCAGGTTGATTCCTCTGTTCCTACCCACCTCAGGGATTAATTTTGCTTTGTGGGAAGAGGCTATTTAGAGTTTGAAAACAATATTGTAATGGCTCTTCAACAGTTATGCAATCTCTTCATCCAAGAGATTCTCCCGTGCTGCTGACTCCACCTCCAAATACCATTCATAAACTGTTCCACTGCACTGTGATTTATTTAGTTTTCCCTCACTGTGAGAGAGGATAAAGAGATGTCCCCTGTTCAGTGACAACAGAAAACAGCAATCACATTGAAAGTAACCTGAGGGTGCCATGTACTCTAACTGTTTCTAAGAAAGAGATGTACTAAGAGTAATTCTGGATATTATATAGTAGAAAAGATTTAGATGAGCACAGGAGATGCTTCATTCTCCAACAGATACAGCTAAATTTTAAACTAAAAAGAGGTTTTCTTCTTCTTTGGTGTGTTTTGGAGAGGAAGGAAGATGGTGGGAAAGGAAATGGAATTATACTGGGTTGTTGTTTTATTTTATGTAAACACCCACATAACATCTTGCACGCGTTACCGCAAATGGCCATTAAGTTCAATAAAATGGTGCTTTACAGGAAAAGCAGAAGAAGTACACAGATAAGACCATGCGTAGTTAGGAGAATTATATCCTCTTCTAAGAAAGGAAGAATGGTCTGTGTTCTGGCATGAATACAAAACCTAGTATCTGATGTTTACAGCCTATTTTAATGGTGTTTATGAATAGCTCTATTACATGTATGTAAATAACAAGCGCTCCCTCTAGTGAACCTTTGTGGGATTCAGTGTTGTAACTACTGAAGGTACGGATGAGAAAGTTTATAGGCAGAAGTGCTATCTTCTATTAGATTGTCTGCTGAAGTCAGAAAAAAAGGTACAAGCTTTTAGACATGCTAGATGGTTTTTAAGGTCAGTAGCGCAATGTCAGAGATGGGGAGAGACAATGTCTTACAGTAAAAAACAGATTTATGCTCACTGTTGCACCTGGATACTGTCCCTTACCAATGTTTACTTTGCCTGTTCATCCCTCCTCTTGCTGGTAGGTGTGATACCCTTGCTTTACTAACCTTCACTTCAGACTCTGAAACCCAAAGGGAGACACTCCATGAACTCATTTATGTATCTCACTACAGTGAAAAAATAATAACAAAACCAACACATCTGCCCAACGCAAAGGACTGCATTTGAGCAGAAATGCTGTTTACCCATGCCAAGCTGCAGTGTTGATGCTTGATTACATCTTTTAAAAGTTATGTACATTATCACTACTTCTCTTTGCCAATATATTTTACATTATTAAACATAATGCTTATAATTATTCTTTCAAATACATCAGAAAAAAAGTTTATGAAAGTTGTCATGGTTGTGGCTGATGTGACTGCATGGGTAACCTCAATTCTGGCATTTTTTAACTTCTCAGAGCATTGATTTATTTTTTTAGTTTAAAATACAGAATATTTATTTCTGGCACAGTCTTGGGGGCGGGGCTATCATTATGCCCAGGATTCGAAACCCTCGTCATATGCAGTGTCTTATTATGCTGCTACTGAAACTCTCTGAAACGTAACTAGATCCGCTTTGCGTGGATCTGCGATGTGAAGTAGCACCTCTGCACAAGAGCTGTGGCCTTGCTGCAGCTGCTGGATTCATGGTCACCTCCTGCGCTGGGTGTTGTAGTTGATGCTTCGAAGTCGTTATTTCCACACAGTGGTTAGGACCAGCCTGCCGCTGAAGGTGACACCAGTCCCCGGCTTCTCAAGCGGTGGGAGTTTATCCAAGGTGGGACCCGGTGCCTGTATTAAAACGCCGGAGCAGGGGCAGGAAGGTGTGGTAGTGGGTGACTCACTGGATGAGGGCGGGGGGGGTTGGCAGCGGGAACCCCCCGTGGGTTTGGGATGAGCAGCGGAAAATTGAGAGAGGTAGGCGGGGGCATGCAACTACAGTCCCAGCGTTGAAACTGGGGTCCTCTGAGAACGTGGGGGCACATATCTGGAAGGTGGTGGTGGTGCAGGGAACAGAGGCAGACCCTCCCCTGTGCGCATGTGGTAACTTTTCCATCCTTCACTTGCGGCGAACCCAAATATGAGGAATCTGTCGATGGCAAAGCTACAGTGAGAAGCTCTGATGTGTTATCTGCAAAATAGCATAAGGTCATTTAAGAACCGTACTTGAAGATCTGCTGGCCTGTTACATAATTTGCCTTATTTGTACAGTGGGCGAAGATGATGTAAAAAGCGAACAAGCAGAAAATGGGCAACGGCCTCCTGTGCCCACTGTACTGCAACTTAAACCCCGTTTTTTTTACTGCTATAAACTGAGGATCAGTGCAGGATGAGAGCACATTCGAGAGATGTGTTTTGGTATGCCTTAAATATTTATTGGTGAACGATTATGTAAAGACACATCAATACTTTCCAAATTTCTGGTTTTTCTGCCCATGAATAAAGGGACATATTTTCCCAATTAGACGCCAGTTGACTGAACAGTTCCTGGGAATTGAGAACACCCAGAATATCATCCTGTTGAAGTCTCGGACCTCTGAATTCACGTGTCTGTGTGCCGATAGCTACTTGTCAACTAGAAACAGGATTCACCTTCCCGGCATAGAGTTTATCGAGGTGCTCTAGGGTGTGGGGGGATGTCAGCTAAGGTGCAGTAGGCTCAACCCAGGATTTGAGAAGGCTCACACCCTCCTAAAGCAGCCGTGGAACACCAGGCAGGACCCAGACCCCACAGCCCCTAAAGAGACACCGAAGGCTCAATTCGGTGGTCTGACACACATGCCCACTGCCATTTGGGATGCTGTAGGGTGTCCAGCATAACCTCCAGCTGACAGCATGGCCAGATTTCCCGTAGGTCATGCGGTGTGTTTTCCAGACCCGCGCGTGTAGCCGGGTTACCTGACAGCATCTCAAACAGCACTAGCCGCTCCCGTTCGTGCGGCTGGGTTGGGTCTTGCTGGTTTGTGCCGTTCTTTTTGGAAATGCAAGAGTTTGGGCTTGTTTTCCGAAAAAAAAAAAAAAAAAAAAATCAGAAACACACACACACACACACACACACAGACACAGACACACACACACACACACACACACAGACACACACACACAGACACAGACAGACACACAGACACACACACACACAGACACACACACAGACACACACACAGACACACAGACACACACACACAGACACACACACACACACAGACACCCAGACACAGACACACAGACACACAGACACAGACACACACACACACACACACACAGACACACAGACACACACACAGACACACAGACACACACACAGACACACACACACACAGACACAGACACACAGACACACACACAGACACACACACACACAGACACAGACAGACACACAGACACACACACAGACACACACACACACACACACACACACACACAGACACAGACACACAGACACACAGACACACACACACACAGACACACACACACACACACACACACACACACAGACACACACACAGACACAGACAGACACACAGACACACACACAGACACACAGACACACACACACACACACACAGACACAGACAGACACACAGACACACACAGACACACAGACACACACAGACACAGACACACACACACACAGACACAGACACACACAGACACAGACACACACCCACCCCGCCATTTCTCAAGCCGCCGCTCTCCCGCCCCGCCGCCAGGCGTCGCCCTCACGCCGCTGCCATAGAGAGCGCGGGAGAGAGAGCGAGAGGGGCTACCATAGAGAGCGGGTGCGCCCGCCCCCCGTGCCGGTGAGGGAGCGTTCCGCCACCACACGGAAGCGGAAGCGTTCCCGGCGCTGCGCGGAGGGGCAGGGTCTGGCGCGGGCCGGCGGCCGTTAACCGTGGGGTCTGGCCCAACTCCCACCCTACCCCCACCCCACCCCACCCCCGCCGGCTGCGGGTGAGGGGGGCGCCGGGAGGGCCCCTTCGGCGGCCGGGGAAGGCGGCGGGGAGCCGGCGGCGGAGGGTGCGGGTAACCCTGCTCCGCCCGGCCCGGCCCGGGCTGCTGGCGTCGGGGTCGGGGGTCGGCATCGGGATCGGGATCGGGGAGGGAGAGGGAGAGGGAGAGGGGGAGGGAGAGGGGCTTCCCCGGTGGCGTCTCTGGGGTCTTGCTCCGCCGCCGGCCTTCCCGCGGGCGGGTGGCGGTCGCGGCACCATCCCCATCACACACACACACACCCCCCCCCCCACCCGTGTACTGCTGAGACTGCGCGGGGCTTCGGGCTTTTAAATGAAAGAGGCGTTTTTCTCTCGTTGCAGACGCCTTCCGAAGTCTTTCTGGTGGAGAGCTTGGGATCCGCCTCGGCGCTGGCCAGCTGGGGTTTACTGGTTGTTAAGTAGACTCCAAAGCAGTGTGGCTTTGCTCCGCCTGTCCCTTCCTTCCTGAGAAAGGGTAGCTGCTTTCTGAGCCATCACATACCAACTTCATGTGTTCCTAAGATTGTCATCAGCTTCTTGTGGTTTTGTTTTTGTTTTGGTTTTTTTATTTTTGTATTTTTCTGAGGCCTTACTGAGGTTTATTTACTTATAGGCTCTAGTGGTTGTAAAGTTATTTAAGATGTTTGTACTACTCAGTTTTAACTCTGTAATTGACTCTTGTATTAAGAGACATTGTATTAACTTGGGAATGGTTAAATGGCCAAAGAATTAACTTATTTACGGATAAGGGCTAATTTATTTGACTACTGTTGGCCTGCAACTTAAACTTGCATCTTTTATTTTTTTTTATCCTATGCTTTTTCTGTGTTATGGCTGCTGCAACAATAGTTCATGATACATCAGAAGCTGTAGAGCTCTGTGCTCCCTGTGGGTTATACCTTAAACCCATTACAAAAATGACCATCAGTGTGGCACTTCCTCAGCTGAAACAGCCGGGAAAATCCATTTCGAACTGGGAAGTGATGGAAAGATTGAAAGGGATGGTGCAAACTCATCAGTTTTCCACTCTGCGGATTTCTAAAAGCACAATGGATTTCATCCGGTTCGAAGGAGAGGTTGAGAACAAAAGTTTGGTTAAGTCTTTTCTGGCGTGCCTTGATGGCAAAACAATAAAGCTGAGCGGCTTCTCTGACATTTTAAAAGTCCGTGCTGCGGAATACAAGATTGACTTTCCTACCAGACATGACTGGGACTCGTTTTTCCGTGATGCAAAAGATATGAATGAAACTTTGCCAGGGGAAAGGCCAGATACTATTCACCTAGAGGGCTTACCTTGTAAGTGGTTTGCAGCAAAGGACTCTGGCTCGGAAAAGCCAAGTGAAGAAATCCTTGTAAAAGTTTTCAAGAAATTTGGAGAAATACGTAACGTGGACATACCCATGCTGGACCCTTACAGAGAAGAAATGACTGGCAGAAATTTTCACACTTTCAGTTTTGGAGGCCATTTAAATTTTGAAGCTTATGTTCAGTATCGAGAGTACGCAGGTTTCATTAAGGCCATGAACGCCCTGCGAGGGATGAAGCTGATGTTTAAAGGCGAGGATGGCAAAGCGGTGGCTTGCAACATAAAGGTGAGAAACTGCAGGCTTTTGTATGGGAACCCGTGTGAAAGACCAAGTACAAGTAAATGTTATTTCCTTAGTGCTTAAAACTGACACCTGTATAATGTAGTGATGATAACAGGTGACATTAACGGCACTAGTTTTATGGAACAGCCATAGTAGAATCTTTAAAGGAAAACGATGGAAGAAAAATGTGTTGTTAGACTATGTGAACAAAGTAAGGGGGGTTTTTCATTTTTTACTTTAACAAGACAGTTCTAGGAATGAGAGCTGCTTGATGGAAGGACCGAGTGTATGAACATGGCCTGCTTAAATATTTTTTAGAAAGCAATATGTATTTATAAATTTTGTCATTTCACTTCAAATTCTAATTTTGAACAGGTTCAGACATATTTCACCAGAAGGCTGACTTTAAAGTGCATTGGTCTCTTTTGTGTTCGCTACAAATTGACATTTTAGGGGAGAATTCCACAGCCTCTGTATCTGGTCCCTGCATTGATAATGAGGTCTAACTAGTGTCAGAACCGTGAAATTCAGTAGTGTGTGACCTGTACGGCCTGGGGGGTACACAGTTAGTGTACTTCACATTCAGAAAGACCCCCATCGAGATTTAAAAGATAATGTTAAATCTGTAGCGCAGTTTCCTGTGGGTGCAGCACGCTTAATTCATAATATTTACATACTGAGTGTTCCAGATCTCTTTTTTTCTGTAACCTCATTGTTTTAGAAAATGCAGCTATGACAGGAGAGAACAAGACAGTCTGATCAGATGTAGTATCTATGAAAGCGTGACCTGAAGACAACTTGCTCTGTTATGTTTGGAGGTGGGCTGTGCATTTACATATCAGTTGAAGGAAATGTTTGTGGGTATATTTCAGTATGCTCAGTAGTCATCCAAACAGCGTGTTTCGGGAAGAAGCTGAGTATTCCTTTGTGTAATGCAGGAACATGCAAGTGTTTATTCAAGTTGTAGTTTAGTCTGTGTAAGTAAAATACTGTAATCCTTTAGCTTTCTGTCAAAGCTTGTCAGTTGGAGCATAGAAACCGTTTCTACCTTGACCCTCAAGGTTTTCAAGGGGATGTGAAATTCAAACTGTCACTTACATAGAGGGGATCAGGTTTCCCAAATTTAGTTTGGCCATGCAAGTGGAAACATGCCTTCCTGGCAGCTGCCTTGGGGATTGATAAGAAAGAGAGAGGGCTGTGTTTGTGATTGCGCTGTCAGGGCAGACCTCTTTCATACGAGGTCACAGCAACACCTTGTCTGTTTCGACCCATCTGTCCTTTTAGCCTGTTAGTGAAACATCATTTTACATAGAGCCTGGGTGAATTAAACTACAGAATACGTGCTCCTTGTTCTCTGCCCCGTGGTTCAGGGCGATGGGCCTGCAGGGATGTATTAGAGACATGCCCTGCCTGCACACAGGTGGTGCTCCAATGGGAGGTTGGGACACCAGGGCTGTGATGTCTGCTGGTGTCCTCTTCAGCACGCAGCTGGACACGGGCAAGCTGTGCTCATATGTCCCAGGTTGCTCAGAATTGTGGAAAACGATTTTCTCTTGTGTTCCCAGTCTCAAACTCGGAGCTTCAGCCCAATGTACCTCAATTTGGGAAACTTGGTGTTAGAATTAAGCACTTGCTTAAACTGGGTGCTGAACATTGTAGAATGGTTTCTTCTACTGAGTTTACAGATCACAGTTTTAGACAGAAAGGGAGGCCTTTATTTAGGCCCATTTCTACCTAGTGCTGTACATGAGTTGAATGAGTTCTGTAAGTTCCTGTTCTGACAGGTTGAAAACTTTGGACAGCCAGGTATCGCGCTAGGGTTTACTTTTGGATGTCAGACAGACACAAAAGTGTAAACTGGTACCTGACTGTGCTAGTGTGCAGGCATTTAGTTCCCAGTTACCTGGTTATAGTACTCTGGTGCTTGCCTTGGGCACATAGCGAAGTTTGCTTTGTTTTGGAGAAGGTTTTATATTTTTGGTTGTACTTACACTGTGGTTTGGATCCCTTTGTGCTAGATTAAAAGTGTTGGGGATTGTGCAGATTGTTGGGGATTTTTTTTTTTGTTTTGTTTTTTGTCTACTTAAAACTGTTTTCAATTGTATCCTGTAAAGGTTTCTTTTGACTCAACAAAACACCTCAGTGATGCATCAATTAAGAAGCGTCAGCTTGAAAGGCAAAAGCTTCAAGAGCTTGAAAAACAGAGAGAAGAACAAAAGCGTAAAGAGAAAGAAGCAGAGGAAAAACAAAAAGAGGAAGAAAGGTATTTATCGCTTATTGCTCAGTTAAGTTTTTAACAATCAGTCATAACAAAACTGTAGTTTCTCCTTCATATCAGCGTCAAAAAGAATAACTAAACACAAATTTTCTTCCAAAGTCCTACTCTTGTGGCTAAAGCAAAGCGCTTAAAACTGAGTGAGGATACTGTGGTCCTTTTGAGGAAATAGGGTTCAGGGATTAAGAGATTTGGAGAAGAGTGTTTTACACTTTTTTTTTTTTCTTGAACTGTAATTCCAAGAGCTGGGAATTTACATGATGTGCAGTCATTCAGATGGAAAAATGTCCACTGTAAATGGAGAATAGAAAACAATGCACTAGTTGTGCTGCTAACTAACTTTGATATTATAAAGCTAATTTTGTCTTAACGTCAGTATTTTTCCAGGGAAGGGATGGGATACAAGCATATCTTAACAGAGATATTTTAAGAAAATGTGTAAGTATGCAGATGTCATAAGACAGCTATTCAGAATATAAACACAAATGGACCAAATTGTTTCAGAGGCTGTATGGTGTCCATCTGCCTTGATGTGTATAAGTTCTCATTGCTTAATGTTTAGATATTAAACAGTTTCTGAAACTGCAAGGTTATTTAGATTGTCACTAATGGCTATGTTCGGTTAAAAATCTTAAATCTGCAAAATAATCTATTTCCTAAAAATTATGCTATTAGATACCTGATCTCAGAAACCTTCAGCCTTTTACATAAGCTATCGTTTTGTCCTTATGACTGAAATAAAAACCCCCAATCACTGCACACATTAATTGGTAATTTTCTTCTTGCTGTGATGATTCGCTGCCTGGCTGCTTGATGTGTTGTTATTGTCTCTGGTCACACTGTTTTCAAAAAAAATATTTTTGTTATAGCCCTGTTTTATGTTTGGATTCCAACTTGTTTTTAACTATTGACAGGATGATGTTTGTTTACTATCAGAACTAATGGTTAAAAAGTTCACTGTTTTCTACTTCTGCTTTTCAGTAATCAACAAGACTTACTTAGAAGCAAATTTACTCAAAGTATATTTTTATATACAGTGAGAGTCTAAAACTGTACCTGCCCTAGATAAGGTTAAAAAATATTCATATCTTTTTTAGGAAACAGAGAGAGCTTGAAGAATATGAGAGAGAGAGAAAAAGAGAAGAAAAATTGCGCAAGAGAGAACAGAAACAGAAAGATCGTGAAGTTCGACGAAACAAAAAACAACTTGAAAAGCTTCAAGCTGAAGAACAGAAAAAACTGCAAGAGAAGATAAAGTTAGAAGAAAGGAAGCTCCTGTTAGCTCAAAGAAATCTTCAGTCCATTAGACTAATTGCAGAACTGTTAAGCAGGGCAAAGGTAACTTCAATATTTATTTCAGAAACTAATGAAGAACCAGCAGAACAAAGCCTTTCACTGACTTGAGCGGGAGTAGGAGCACTGTTCATTAATTAACAGATTTAGTACCTCTCCAGATGCTATTCCTTAGACCAAAAATTCAGAAAAGTGCAATGAAACAGTATTTCATCCATGGTAAAAATATGCACATATAGGTAAATGGCAGAGTGAACTTGAACCTGTAGTCCTGAATAGCATTTTTTACCTGTAAAGTAACTGGCAGGCTTGCTCTTAAGTCCAGTAAAAGCACGTGTAAGCATGATAAAGTGAACTAAACACAGAGAATAAGATGCAGGACTCCTTGTTTCTAATTCCAGTTCTGATGCATCAAGTTTCCTGTCAGTTCCGTTAACTATTCTTTGCAGTTTCAGAGAATGAGCTTTCATTGCTGATGTTTGAAAACGTGCAAAATGATTTTTCTGTAGAAAAAGTACAGTCAGCTAAGGTTTTGAATGTTAGATCCTGTCTATCAATATTGTTATTTTTCATTGAAATGGGGTGTAATTTGCTTAAGGCTTTCATAAAGTCATGTTAGGGTGTAATGTAATGTATGTTAAGTATTTTCTGCAGAAATTAAAAACTGTGTGTCAAAGCAGGGTTTTCTTTTTTTTTTTTTTTTTTTTAATCAGGAGTGTTTTTGAACTCCTACGGTGCTATGTGTTTAGTTGTATGCTAGGAGAAGGGAAAAATAATTCCTGTTAGCTTTGTACCTTTGCAGCTGTAAAATAGAAGGGTTGTCTGATAAAATAGAACAGTGTCTTTCTTTCAGTCCCAGAGTTTTGAGGTCTACACTAAGCTGTTTGTCTGGGTCAGAATTTAAAAAAAAAAGCTTTAACTTTTTTCAGTATCTTAAGTTTCTAAAGTGATTGGCAAGATGAGAAGGATTTTCCACGTAATGTGTGTTTAATTATTTGCTGGTTTTTATGCACTCCATTGTAAAGCCATCTATGAACCACAGATTGCGATCACCTAAGAGAAACGCGTGTTTTAAATTTGACTGAAATCTTCAGGTGTTGACCCTGAGAAATGTATTGTAATACTTCAAATTCCACATGTTGTTCTACCTTGTGTGTTGCTCTCATCATATTAAGGAGCCATAAAGACCAAGCTTTGGTTTTGTCTTGTGAAACAGCTAGGAGAAATTGACACTCAAAAGAGTTTGTGGACTAATGCTAATGTTTCACCTTAGAACAGTTGTGTGCTGGTGACTTTTTTGTTTGGTTTGTATGGGGTTTTTTCCCTTTAAGAGGGAAATAATCATTTTAACTTTGGGATGGTTAAGTTCTGTTTGTTAGGTTTTATTTTATTGTCATATTGCTGCTTTTGTGTTGTATAACTTGGAAGCATAAGCAGGACTATAAGTATTTTTTGTTGTTTACTTTGACCTTCCCATTGATTCTCTTTCAGGCAGTAAAACTTTTGGAGCAAGAACATAATGAAGAAAAGATTCGTCTTCAGCAGCTAGAGGAGAGACGAAAGCTTCAGGAGGCTGAGCTCAAACGTGTGGAAGAGGAAAAAGAGAGAGCGCTGGGGTTGCAGAGAAAAGAAAAGGAACTGAGGGAGAAACTACTGAACAATCTTCTAAGCAAGAAAATGGATGCACTTAATCAAAACAAAGAAGAAACTGAGACAGTTCAGTCTGACATACCGAAAACCCCTAGCGGTATTCCACACTCTGTGTCATCCAGCTGCATCACTTCTACCTCAGGACAGGCTGTTACAGGCAAACTGGTTCCTGGCTCTCAAAGAGAGGTAGCATCCCCTGAGAGCGCAAACACTCAATGCAAGTACTTGAATGGCAACATTCACGACAAAGTTCATGTCAAAGAAGGTCAGAAACTTCATACCACAAACTCTGAGAGGTGCTCTGAGAAAAGAAGTTCAGGGGTACTTCCGTGCATTCCCGCCAGTAACCAGCAGCAGAAGAGCCACTCTGGCTACGACCAGAATACCTGCAGGAAGGACTCGCGCTGTGAGCAGGGCAGACGTAGCGCAGAGCCGAGGAGAAGAAAGAGCCGTTCGTGTAGCAGCGTAAACACTGACGAGAGTAAGGGTAGACGGGAGAGGAGCAGACACAGAAGAGATGCGAGCTACCAGGATGAAAAACGCCGGAAAGAAAGGAGGTATTATAGACACTCTAGCAGAAGTTACAGCCCTCGACGAAGCCGCAGTCCTCGTCGAAGAAACGTAAGTCCCAGACGTTCGCGTTACAGAAGAACTCGCAGTAGCGAACGGAAACGAGACAGAAGAGAAAGAAGTCACAGTCGCAGAAGCGTGAGCAGGAGGCGAAGGCACCGGAGGTGATCACTGAGTAAGCAAAGGAGTACTTGGAGTGGGTAGTGGAGGCCTTGGCTCCTTGGAAAGGCTGTGGTCGGACAAAAGGGCCAGGAAGCTGTAAACGAGACCTCATCGGTGTGACTGCTATAGAAAACACGTTTGTTTCAACCAATGCTTAACTTGCATCTAGTCTCGGAAATCAAGAAAATAGATGCCTGATTTTTTTTTTTGATGTTCCTTTGTGCTTTGTTGTCTCTTCTAGGTTTCCACCACAATGTGTAGGTATAACCGCCTGTGCTTGTGCTCGAGTTCCTACAGTGCTAAAAGCCTATTTTCTTGATTTTCGTTTTTCTAAAACTTAATTTTAGTTGATTTAGCTTTTAATCTCTGTATCACCGAATTTGGCTTGAGAATTACATGGGTGCCAGTTGCAGGAACTCCAGCTGTGACAAGCTATTACATCCAGATTTGATTTAAAATGCTTTCTGGTGCACTCAGTGAAATCACATTTAACAAAGTAGAGTTTTTGCTGATAGGGATACCTAGCAGGGCTTTCATGTAGTCCTTAAAACTGACTACAAAGATATGCAGGATGTCTTTTAAACTGCTGTGATTCCTTCGTATGTCTGTATGGTGCCAAGCTTTGTGGCCCAAATTATTCTGGCATGTAATGCTGTTTGTATAATACTTTCCATGTAGGAGAGGCACACTGATGTAGGAAGTAAGAAGCAGTGGTAAAATGGTTGAAAAGGTGTTCTGTTATTTTGTTGACATATCTGGCTTTGTAATTACTTCAGGTGGCACAGAGCCATTTGAAGCATTTTTTCAGGTACATACAGAGCTAGCCATTGTCTTTTGAAAAAGGGGCCTTCTTGCTAAATTATTTTTACTTGTGGTGTTGGAAAGCAAGGCTGCAGTGTCTTTTGTTAAATCCATTTAAGAATACTTTTGCTTCTAAAATGCAGCTCAGGAATATTAAAAGCTATAACATTACAGTGAAAGAGTTTATTTTGCCTTTTTATGGTAAAATTAAAAAGAAAACTGTTTCCAGTGAACTGAAGTTGCTGTTTTCATATGTCAGTATATTAAAATCTGCAGAAGTGTTGTATGAGAACCCGTTTGTTGAAAAAAAATCGCTTGACACGTTTGAATAATGAAGCTCAGCCACTCCTCTTGATGGTCCTGTTACGTACAGCAATGTCACCTGTCAGCTCTACAGCCTTTGGATGCCATTTTCCTCACGCTGATGCATCAAAGCAAAGTGCATCCCTTTCCTGGAGTGCCCGAGGAGCCCACTGGTGCTGCAGCTCAGCTGGATCCCTGGCTGGCTGAGTTTGTGTTGCTTTCAGTGAATCCATGCAGGGTTTGTTTTTCACTAGGCCATGCTGCTGAAATCTTTGTAATTACTAGCTGTGGAAAGAAAAGGAAGTCATTCTTTTATTTTCCCGATAATTCATGTTTTTAAAGATCTCCAATTAATTATGTTACTTCTAATTTTTTTATGACTTCTCTTGTGAGTTTCACCGCTGTCTTGGCGGCTGAGAGCTAGACTGACTAATCATCTCAACACCACCAGTCTCTTGAATTCTGAGTATTTGCTTTCTGTGGAGAGTTCATTTTTCTCCTATCTTTGTTAAAATGTTAAAAGCCTAGCTACCTGAAGATAAGTTCATTTTCAGTAATGATTTAACATCCAATCTAATGTTGGTTGCAGGTATTTGAGAAGGCTGGTGGGATGCCTGTTTGTAAATGCATGCAATTCTGCTTAGCCTGCTCTTAAATACTGACACACTGTCCATGTAACACCACTTCAAAAAAAAAAAAAAAGTATTCTATCTGCAGCTGGGTGAGAGTTTAACTAATGGCTGTCAGCACCAATGTCTTTGAGCTCAGGATTAGATTCTTACTAGTATTTCTGCAGTGTATTTCTGCTGTGGATTTGCACTGGGGTTGATATGTTGGATGGGGGTCTTGATGATGTATTGTGTAAGTAATCTAGGAGATGATAGTTTATAATACTACTTTCAAGAAGTTATCAAGCTGTGAATGCAGTATCATTGCCAGGAGTGGAAGCAGTTAAAGCAGTGACAGTCACCAAAAGGTGTTGGAGTCATACTAGCAGAATCTAACAGATACTGTTAGTTCATATGAAAAAAGCCTGTGCTGGATAATTTGTTTTGTTTTGTTTTTTCTTCTCCAGAGAAGGCTCTAAGAGCAGGTTTCATAGCCCACCCTGAAATAATTAAATTCCATAAGCTCTCCTGATGTTTAGGGCAATTTCTGAGGCCAGAGAAGATAATTGTGCAGAGAACATTCAGCTGTCAGGCTCTGATAATCGTTTAGCTTAACAGACCATATCCAGCACTGGCTTCTTACAAAGTGCATCGACATAAAGCAATTCAATTGTTTATAGTGCTTGTATTATTTCTTCTTTTCACAGCAGTTTCAGGAAGAAAAGATGAAAGTGCTATGAAGCTACTTGCAAATGCTTAGTTTCCAAAATGCAGAGGGAATGTAGAAGTCCTCTTTCAGTCAACCAGCTGAACCCAATCAAAATGTCTTAACACTCCTAGTACCTAAACTTGCCCAGTAACTGCTCAGTGCAGAATTGTATCTGGTCTAACACTTAGCACTACAGTTGCTTCAGGTACGTGTTTTGCATCAAAGCTCTCCAAAATCTTTTCCGTGCCGAATCCTCTGAAACGGATATTGCATCATGTGTCCTGGTAGCAGGTCTGGCTGGGATGGAGTTCGCTTCCTTCGTAGCTGCTGCCGTGGTGCTGTGTTTGGGGTTTGTGAGGAGCAGTGGTGTCAGCACACCAGTGCCCGCCTGTGGCGGAGCAGTGCTTGCACCGTGTCAAGGCCTCCCTCCATTTCCCGTTCTGTGCACAACCCTCGGGGGGGGTAGGCTCAGGTCGGGAGGGGACACAGGTGACCCCAGCTGACAAAAGGGATATCCTGTGCCCTATGACATCGTGCTCAACAATAAAAATGGGGGCTTTTGTCTTTCCATTGCTCCAAGACTGGCTGGGCATCAGTTCCCTTGTGGTTTTTGTTGACGATAGGCTCCGAACTGCAAACAAACTTGGGAAGAGTTGAAACTAATCTTTTATTAAGGTCATAAATAAAAATTATGCTATGCCCGATATATTTTATTCAGATTTTTACTATGGCTGGGGTATGTGCTTGTACTACTGCAAAAACCTTGCTGATGCAGTAACAATATAATTTTTTGGTAGTAAACAATTGCTCTTTGTTCTGTATTGGTTGTAAGTCAGTACATTTCGAACAAGTATCTTCTAGGGGTCTTGGTGTTTCAGATGAAGGAGCCTAGGATAACAGCAGGCTTTATAATGGCTTCTAGAAACAGAAGTACCAAAGTTACTGATATTTTTCCCTACTCTGGAAGAATGTTGTGATGCTGATTGCTTAAATCTGACTTGATCACTTGGATTTGCAAGACTGACTTTCAGGAGCTGTCTAAAAGCAGATAAAATTAGTTGCTGTCTTTTTTCTTCTGTTTTAATGTATGTCTGTTGAGTGACCTTGAGTTCATATGGAAAGATAAATATTTAATGTCTGTCCTTTGCTGGTTTAGCTGCTTTAAGGCAGTGTCCTCTTGAAATGGACTTCAAACTTTGATCAACAACTTTGGTCTAATTAATGAAAGAGTTCCAATAATTCATACTGCTGTTCTTGTTTAATAATTAAATTTACAGTGCTTAAATGACACTGCAGTCACAGGCTTTGACAGAAGTGTTAAGGAAACTGAAGAGTATAGGATTTAGCAACTGACACTTAAATACATACCAAACTAATAAATGCTTCTGAAACATTGAATTTATGTTGGTATGGTTGAATATTGGATAGAATCTGTTTTAGCTACTGTGCTACCTCTTCAGACCCTTGGTGGTTAGAAATCCAATCCAGTGGGAATGTCTGCAAAGATATCTGCCTATTTCCTTCTGAAACTGGTTAGTGAGGATTACGTACCAATAGTAACCTGACTCTCTTTGCCTGACGTTCCATTGTGTCAGATTTGTGTGTCTTACTCCATTTGTCTGTCAATATTCAGGGTTAGATTTTTGTTTTGGTGGCTTGTTCCCCTGTGTTTGTAATCAGGAGTACAGATTGATTCACTGCTTTTATCAAAACACTGAGGACCTCGGTGAGCAAGACTGCAAATGTTTCTTCTCTGTTAGACTCCGGTTTGAAAAGTCGGAGCCTTTATGTCAGCTTTCACCTTGACTGAATGCATGGCAGCCCCAGGGCTATAGGGTAGAGATGGGGCAAGAAATCCTCGAAGATGCTGGAAGACATCAGTACAAGTCATTGCTTCAGAAGTGTTAAGCTTGTCCTATGCATTTTGTCCTGCTTTTGAACTCTGGAGCTCTTCCCATGCCGTTGCAAAGCTAAGAACTTGAATAGTTCCCAGTTTCCTGCTCTGTGTCAGGCAGTGATAACCTGTCAATTTTAAGCTTACTTTAAAATCAGCCTTTGTTGCTGGAGAAAGCTCAGGTTCACTCTTTACTGGTATGTTTTTTTTTTTTTTTTCCTCCAGTAGTGGAAAAATTTCCTCAGTAAGCAGGACTGGTGTGGTATAGATATGGGGTGTAAATCCCGCTAAGCCGTGGATCGGGCAGCTCCACAGCACAGCACTGTGTTCATGTCATGTCTCGGCAGCAGTGAGAGACCTCTGAGCCCTCTTACTGAGTCACAAGAAATGCCCTGGGTTTCTTCCAACGTTCTACCTCCATTCTTAAGTCGCACGATGAGACAGGAGAGTGTTCTCAGTTGTGAGGATGCACCTCTCTTGGGCTCAGCTTCAGGAGAGATTTCACGTCCGTCACCACAGAACCGTGTCTCCCTTTTGTCCTCATAGAGGTGCCCGGAGGATAGGATCGAGCCAGTGGGAATCCACCTTGCTCTCGAGGACGTGTAGTGTTCAGAAGTGTATTAATCATCTAACGATGCAAAGCAGCGTGTGGCCTCTTCACGTTTGAGGGTGAGGACCCTGCTCACCACAGACCGCTTGTTGCAAGGTCTGAGCAGGTTGTAGACCAAAGCTCCCGAGCCTCCCTGTGCTGTGCAGGAGCTGGTGCGTGCTGTCCCTGCCTGTGCTGTTGCCTCAGCGTGGCTGTTGGCACTGGCAGCCAGGAGTGGTTTTCCTGCAGCCCTTGTTAAGGAAGAACAGGAGCCTCGAAAGGGTGAGAAATCCAAGTTCCTGTTGCTACGGTCAGTGTTGCCACACAGTCCTGATCCTTAAAGAAAAATGTCTTCTTTCTACCCAAGGGCTGATGAGCCTCTGCACTTACCAGCCTCTCAGCCTGCAATTTTCTTTTTTATCTCCTGGCCTCGCCTGCTGTCTCATCCCACTCGGTGGGTTACCGGGCAGGGGAGGGGGGTGACTCTTTTGAATTCCCCAAGGGCCTGTGTATGGGGGAACAATCCGGTCTCTGCTTGGTAGAGCTACAGGACAGGGTCGAGACACAACGATGACTGGGAGGAACAATTTAGCTGTTACCTTTATTAACTGACAGTTTTGGCGAGTGAATGGAGACGATTTGGCAATGATCAGCTGATAACCCTTGGGTGAATGAATAAAGGCACTTTGGCAAAGAGACTTCCTGACAACCCGTTGCAATTTGTGCAAAATTTATATACCTGAATATATGTAAGAAGAAGGAGAGAGAAACAGAGGAAAGAAAAGCGAATGGGGGGGGGAATAAGAAGAGGGGAATCACCGCCTTTTTGATCTCGCATTGTTGTAGAGTAGCAAGCTTGATCCCTTGATGGTAGATCAACAAAAACACGGGCCAGGGGGAGTGCTGTCTTTATATAGTCTTTTTTACACCTGCACAATAGGGTGTTCTAGAAGGTTCTTGTTTTCTTTGGCTTGCCCCAGCACAGCTGGGCAAGTTCTGTCTCTGGGCAGCAACAGGATGGGGAAGAGAGAGAAATGGCCCTCTGCCCCACCTCTGCAGGGTTTGCCCCACTTTTCCCCCCTCCCCAGGGCTCCCACTCAAGTTGTCTGAGACATCCTCTTTATGAACAGCTTATGACACCTGCACTAGGAGACTTAAGAAGCAGCTTAATCAACAGAAACTACAGTGTCCTCACAAGGGCAAGGTCAAGCCCTCCAATATAATTGTTGTGGTGCTTTCCATCTGCTTGCTGCCTGCTATGGTAAAGTAATTTTGATAATGTAGGAATCATATTGCTGGAACTAATTGATATTAATAAGAAGTGGTTACCAAAGCTGTGACCACAGCCATGTTTTTTTTCTAATTGACCTTACCTTTGGAGAGTAATCTATTCAGTGACCTAGAATAAGGGCATATGCATGATTAAGTATGCACATAAAAGAACATTTGATATATTACCTGAAAGCATCATCTTGAAAGCTGTTAGAGAAAATGGGAATTTTCTGCAGCGGCTCCTAAAATTTTGTGTGTGCAGGACTGTACCAGGGACCGCAAGGCTCTAAATGCAAACCAGTGAGAGTTGATCACTGATCAGTGCTACCTGGACATGGCACCAGTGTCGGCTTTAGGGCAGTTCTTGAACAGGTACAGGATTGTGCACCTGACTATTGCAGCTGCTCATGTTTGATAGCAAAGGTAGAGATGTTGTTAGGTTCTAGATAAGAAGGCAATTAAACCAACCAGTTGGTCAGATGCCCTAATTCATAAATGGGTGAACAAAATGGATCACTGGTATATTGTACAAGTTAAGGTGTTTTTTTGTTTTTGTTTTTGTTTTTGTTTTTTTTTTTTTTAATTATAATTACAAGGAAATACATGAATTGGCTGTGTTTTGATCTGGTATCCTGCCTTTGAGTTTTGGATACAACACCCATTTCATTAAGCTTATGTTGCATTCTGATGATCTGGCCCTTCCCCAGACCAATGGATGTGTTATTTGCAGAATATATCTTTTCCTTCCTCACAATAAATTTGCAGAGTTGTCTCTAGTGTTTGTATAAAGCAGTGATGCAGTTGCAGTTGATCCTTCAGAATGGGTGTACAGAATGGATCCCTCCAGTGTATTACATTCCTACGTGTGTAAATATTATTGTTGTTAAAAGGAAGTGCACTTCTATTTTTTTTTTTTTTTCTTAATCAGATACTAGGCTCTTGAGGCTTGTTTGAAATGGTATGTAACACCATCCTTTCTTCTTTAATCACAGCACAGAAACTGAATTTGATCTAGTTCCCCCTCACATGCTGCATCCCCTGAATACTTCTCCTGCTGCCTCACAAAAAAAAAAAAAAAAAATTTCCTAGATTAGCTCAAACAAATGCTTTGCTATAGTAGTAGGTTATACAACTTCCAAAGGGCTAAGGAATTATTTTCTAATTGATTCCTAATCTACTCATATGTGCACTGTGGCACCTGTGAAGTGTGGGATGCCCAGGAGTGCTGTTCCTGTAACTGGACTGTTCATGGGACAACACGAAGGGGTAATGGTGTGGCAGCACCACGGTCACTCCCAGACAGCAGTCTCAACCTGCCAACAACGTGTTTGAACAAGAATTGATCATCCTCAGACCAGCTCTTCTCTGCGATTCTGTGCATGATCCCAGACATGTGCCTGCAAGTGCTCTGAGGAATTACCTAGTGGTGTCTGTTACTTTCCATCTTAACTGGAAAAGGGAAGGGCTGGCAAGGTCTTTCTCTTCTGCTCGCTGCACCTGATGTGTCTTGTGGTCGTGGTTTAACCCCAGCCAGCAACTAAGCACCACGCAGACGCTCGCTCGCTCCTCCGCAGGGGAATGGGGAGAGAATCGTAAGGGTAAAGGTGAGAAACTCGTGGATCAAGATAAAACCAGTTTAATAGGTAAGGCAAGAACTGCACACACAAGCAAAGCAAAACAAGAAATTAGTTCACCACTCCCCATGGGCAGGCAGGGGCTCAGCCATCCCCGGTACATCGGGGCTCCATCACCTCTAATGGTGACTTGGGAAGACAAGCGCCATCGCCCCAAATGTCCCCCCCCCCCGTCTGTCTTCTTCCCCCAGATTTATATGCTGAGTGTGATGACACACGGTGTGGGATGTCCCTTGGGTCATTTGGGGCCGGCTGTGTCCCCTCCCAACTCCTTGTGCCCCCCCAGACTCCTCGCTGGTGGGGTGGGGTGAGGAGCAGAAAAGGCCCTAACGCTGTGCAAGCACTGCTCAGCAGTAACTAAAACATCCCTGTGTTATCAACACTGTTTCCAGCACAAATCCAAAACACAGCCCCATACCAGCTAGTATGGAAAGAATTAACTCTATCCCAGCCAAAACCAGCATACTTGCAAACAGCACAAAGCTGTAAAAAACATTAGAAGTGAGATTCCCAAGCCATGGGAATACTTCTTTCTGAGGTTCTGATTTTGAAGAAATGGAGAGGATTATCAGATTAGCAAGTGTAAAATAGCCTATTCAAGGCAGTTGTGTATCCACTGACTGCATTTGTGATGCTTGACAGAGCACAAGTAATTCCTGACATGACAGTCTGCCTCAGCTGCTGTCCGGCTTGGTTTTCATTTTGCATCTCTCTAAAGTTTTGGTGCCTACAATTTTTAGCTAGTGAACCTGTCTGTCCTCAGGGAGACTCTGCCCCTTATCTGCTGGGACCTTCCTCTGACAGAAATCTCAGCAACTATTTGGCTGAATTACTTGTTGAGGGGTTATTTGCAGGCCTGAAAGTTAAAGAACAACATTGGATTGCTTGTGGTGGACTTTAAAAGGCATTCTCAGTCAGAGATTTTATGATAAGGGAAACTGAGAAGGGAGGGTTTTCTTCGAGAATGACCTGAGTATACGGAACTTTCTGCCCACTCCAAATGTCTGCCAGTAGTATACGTGATCTAAACAGGAGAAAAATAAAATTAGTTGATGTCAAAAACTGACAGAAGCGGTAGTCATGTTACCAGAGAAATGTATCTATCGTAATACACGAAAAGAATTAGAAGTTCTAAAGAAGAAAATGAGCATTTTATTAAAACTGGATGTTCATTTTCAAATAAAAAGTATGGTACTGAGTATCTTAGCTTTTTAGGAGGTTTTTTTTTTTGTTTTGTTTTGTTTTGTTTTTTTAAAAAAAGGTCACAAACTATTATCTTAGTGTACTTCCAGACCACCTGATATAAGCTGAGCATACTTGGAGGCTTAATAATGGTAACAAGGCGCAGTTGTTTCCATACAGACATTACTGAAACTCATAATCATAGTCACGTCCCTGAGATTTTTATTTGTTGCTTATAAGGAAGGTTGCCTGTGTGAAAATAGTGTCATCTGCCATTTCTCACTGGCAGACACATTAATTTTGCTAAATTTGCTAAGTTCATAGATCATTTCTTACTTTCAAATATTATGCGAAAGTGACATAATTATTTTTTGTGTAGTATATTCTTGTAGTGAGCCATTTAGGCAAAGAAAAATTAATCACCAAAATAGAACCATGGAGATAAAGTAACAGCTTTAGCCTGCACATGGTCTAAGTGCTCTGACAAAAACCCTTATGGGATTTTCAGAGAAAGCAAGCCATTGCAATTTCATCTTCGTGAATGTATTTGTAGCTTGAAAGGAGCTTAGGCTTTAAGCCTCACTAACAATTGGAAACAGCAACTCACTGTGTGTGGCTTTGCATCAATCTGGTGTGGGTTATCTGCAACCCTCCTCCCCTACATCGCGCTACTCGTAGTAATCTCATTAGACGATTACATCTGGTGTCCTCAACAGACAGGTTTAGTCCTAATTGAAAAAGAATTTCAAGTGGGTTTAATTAACTGTGTGGTCATGTTATTACCAGAGCCTCTTGTATTCTGTAACTTTGCCTTAAGTGAAGTAAATTTATGGCCCATGAGGACAAGCTAGCCTACAGTTTTGCACATAACCACCTGGTATTAGTCAAAACTACAAGGATCGAGGGTGGAGCATTTTCATACTCATGAATTTCTAATGCAGGTGTACTAAATGTCACTGTAATACAAATTACTGATTACCAATCTGTGGCTGAGCCATTTGAGGAAAGTGGTCAGTAAACTGGTGAGCAGTATCTAACTCTTCCTAGAGCTGTTTCGTTTAGCTCAGCAGAAGAGAAGTGTATGCTCCAGTGTGGCTGATGGCCTGGATCTGAATTGCTGTCGTGATCCTGGGAATAGGAAATCTTTATGCTTGGGCAAAATTGCATCAGTTTGTTTCTCAGCAGCAGGCATGCAGAACTGGCATTTAGCAGAGAAATATTTTTATTTTCCTACACCTTCCTAATCTTTTGGCTAAAAATATTTATCCTTGGCTAGTGATATTTATCTATGTACAATTTATTTATCTTTTTTAATTGGAGGAGAGGGAAGGCTATTGACGGAAAGAAGTTCACCTGGTCATCCATATGGATGGAGACTTTGTGGGAAGTTTTAGAGCTTTCTTTTCCTGTAGAACCATCTTTGGAGTTCTTGTGGGGAACTGAAATGCTGTAGCATGATCAGTGAGAGTGGGTCTAGATTTGTGCAAATGAATGAACTCTGCAGACTCGCACTTAGCGCATGTGCAGATGGAAGTTCCTGAACAGAAACTGAGCTTGTGCGCTCTCCTTGAGGTGGGGACAGCAGGGGAAAATGTCCATTATGAATGTAGCTGTGTTCTTGAAAGCAGTTGTCTGGGCTTTTTCCTTTGCAGAAATGGTGTCTTGTTAAATGCAAGCTGCACAGATTCGCAGTGACGCTGGCAGAGAGGTGTAGTGCAATCTCCAGCCTCCACAGTATGAAATAAACCAAATATTAATGTCTAACCTGTACTGAACAGTGAAGTCCGGTGCACTAGCAAGACAATAGAACTATATTTATCAGCTATGTTGGCCAGGATGAAACATCTAAGTGTTTCTACAGTTTGGTGTTTGCTGTAACTTTTGTATGTTCAGACCCGGTGTTCTGGTAACACGGGAGACCCCGTGGTGGTAGAACCGAGGGAACAGGTACTGTTTCTGAGTTGTGTACAGAGCGGGGGGGAAAAAGGCTGGTAACTGTGACATCTGCTTAGCTAATTTAGTAACTCTTAAAGTAGGTTGCTATTTCGCTACTGGCTAAAAGCGATACAATACCTTTTGGCTGAAATGTAAGGATCTGAACAGAAAATACAGATTCGCAGGGGGATTATACAGTGGAACCTTTCAGTTGAGAAAGTTTCACTGCATGCACAAAATGGCCAGAAGGAACGTGTGGAAAACTTTATACTGGCCTGTTTCTTCTAAAATTAGGCAAGTTCAAAAGAGAAGCACAAAACTAACCTGCAGCAGCAGCGTATAATACAACCCTACTTCTTAGGAAAGAAAGAGAACATTAAAACTTTATCTTGGGACAAAGTTGTAAACTGCAATCTTTAAACATACATGAAGCTACTGTACGCAAAATGTTGACCTCCATGTTGTTAACTGTATGGCTCAAGTTTTTCACGTTAACTTAATCAGTGAAGCATGGAGAAAGCTACCACTGAAAAAATGTTATTTTGTAACAGTTTGCCAATCATTGAAACAATGTTATTTTGTAACAGTTTTCCAATCATTGAAACAATGTTATTTTGTAACAGTTTTCCAATCATTGAAAAAATGTTATTTTGTAACAGTTTTCCATCATTGTATTACCTAAATTAGGTCTCATTTAATGCTGTTGCCTGAAGGGTCACTGACTGTGCGATATAAAAACTGTCAATCTTTCCTTAATGGAAAGGGTCTTTTCTCACCTGAGAGTTGCAGCATCTGCCCCAAAAGGCAAGATGGGCCAGACAGCAGGCTTTTACAAGGTGGAGCAACAGACAGTGGGACAGAGACATTTCAGGGAAGTAATCCAGGGGTTTAATTTTCTGATGAAAGACCTATGAGGTATGTTCTGCGTGAAGTTGAAATTCATGCCACATCAGGCACTTGGCTGTCATTTCACTGCTTCTTCCCAAGGACTTTCTGCATGTCCCTGGTTAGTTTTGCAGAGAAGGGGAAGACGACTGTGGCAGCCAGCTAGAAAATGTAGAATGCTTTGTGTCATCCCTCAGCACCCTGCTCTGCCAAAACACAACAAAGCACAAGTAGGACACCCCTGCTGTAGTGCTACTATCAAAAGGGAGTTGTTTTCTAATTCGCTATGTGGGGGGACTTGCAAAATATGGAAAAGGAACACGAGTAGGTTTAATTCCTTGTAGGCCTCACCTGCGTGATCATTGTCAGAGCAAACTCTAGTCATTGTGACAAAGCAGCACAACAAGCCAAGTCTTACAGCTTCTCATCCGACTGGCTGCTTCTGCCCTTAGGGACAGGGTGCACCCTACTGCCAACCCCAGGGTCACCAGGACCTGCGCCCATCACAGCAAGTTTCACCTCCGCTCTGCCTATGCCCCTGTGTTTCTTTTATAACTTCCGTGGACACAGCTTGCAAACCAGGCCAGGGAAGCACACTCAGTTTTTCCACACCTGGGTGGAGATTATCACAGGCACAGGCTGTGGTGGGATGCTTTCTTCTCCTTCAGCTGCTTGTGTGGACGCTGCTCTCAGATCATTCCCTCAGCAGCTATTGCCTGCTATGCAGTAGTAGTTGTGCCAGTCATTTTCTTGTGTGGGTAAGGTCTGAGGCCCTGGGTACATGACCTGGAGCCTGAGGCTGAACAATTCTCTGTTTCAGCGTGGTGAATGTAAGTGCTGTGCATATGCTTGAGTGAGGGGTAAGTGGAATTAGGGCCATGGAAGATTTCAGGCTTGGTCGGGAGCATGTTGTGACCACTTTGAGCTGAGCTGATATTTCTTCACTCTTAGACCTCTGGGAACGTCCACATTTCAATTGAAGAATTTTGTCGTCAAATTGTCATCTTTCCTCAGGGGTCACATTATTGAGCTGACTGACATATGGAAGGATTTCTATTCTTGGCAAGTCTTCCAGCATCAAAAAGCCAGCCTGATGGAGTAGAGCTGCTTTTGAACCAGCCCCGAGTAAGCTTCTGCTTTGGTTTATGAACTCCTGGTGCATCGCACTGAGTTCAGGCTCTTGATGTTGTTCTGCAGTGATTTCTGTTTTGCTTGTTACGAGCTTTCAAGTGCTTGTGAAGTATCAGCACGTTAACCGACAGCTGAACTGACAATACAAGCTTTAATCTGCACTGCTTCTTTAGCCTTGCACTTGGTGATGGAAGAGCCAAAGAAACAGCTGAACCTCGTAGAAAAACCCACTGAAGCCAAATAACTTAGCTAACGCATTTTGTAACCAGTGTGTTTCTCAGAAGCAGTAAGATTAAGTGGATCAGCTGGTGTGCTCTGTGCCTGGTGGAAAGAAGCTTATTTAAATAAAGAGGTCCAGAGAATCCGTGCCTCAGTGCAGAAAGAAAATGAGTTCCACAGAAGACCTTGGCTATCCTCAAATCATCTTGCAATGCAGCAGTGGATTTTTAATCTCAAAGGTAAGAAATATAACTCAGTCTTGGATAAATGTCTAAGAATGTGAAGACAGAAATATTCAAGGATCTCACTTTCGGTCCTGAAGGCAAGTCTTTGGAATAAAAACTCTCTCGTGTGAAAGCATCATCTCTGCTCATCTAGGCAGGGAGGAATTTTGAAAAGGAAAAACATTTTAAAATCACCTAACCCCTCAGGATAGATGTAGCATTTACTGAGACCTCTGTGACCTTTGGGGGCTTGGAAGAGCAGACCTTGTCTCTGCATGAGGCTTTATAAAAAACACAGGAGTTTACAGCCGGGGACTTGCTGTCTGACTGCCTCAAACGTGGAAAGTTACCTCGGTGGTGGGATTTCTTCCCAATTGTCATTTTTGGAGTTTGAGAAACAGAGAGTTGACTTGAATTTCCCTTTTCCTTCCCTGTTATACCATGAAAAGAACAAGATCTTTCAAATATATTCTCAAATAATTTCCTTCCCTCTCCCATAGTTTTTCTGTATGTGTTATGCAGAAGGCTGAGCTTGAGAACGTCTGGTATTCCCTCTTTTCAGGTGGAAGAAAGAGTCTGGCATAATGACTGTTTTTCCAGACAGCATTTGATTAAGGCATAAATGTAGAACTAGTAGTTCCGCTTTCCTTAGTGTTTACTGATGTTGTTTGCATTTCTGTGTGTGTAAGCACATAGGCATAAAATTATAACATCCAGTGCAGTGGAGATCTTTTCCTCATTTTTGTTAACTTTCCTATTGTCTGTCACTGTATCTCTGGCCAACGTGGTAACAGAAGGAATGCTCTCTGGGTTGTGCAAATACTGATGCGTCTTAAGGCTCCTGAGCTGACAGTAAAGAGAGGAGAAACAGATTACAAAAAATCCCTTTGCTTGGTGAGAAAGAGGAGTGCCCAATGATTTCCAAATTAACGCTGGTGCTGTTTTTGAGAAACGATCTCAACTTTGGTTGAATCATGTTCTTACTGAGTGTAAAAGCAACTTCCTGTGGACTTTATAAAATCATTATAGATACAGGCAGTCCATGATGTTAATGCCTTTGTTACTGTTTTAGTCTTTGTGTGGCCAGAGAGATAGGTTAATACTTGTGAATTTGACTGTACAGCTAAAGAAGGATGTTGGGATTTTTTATGGTTGGTTACGTATGTCTGTCTGAAGGTCGGGGGTTCTTCCTGGAGATGTTACACACCTTCCCTGTGAAAAGACAGGGCAATTCTGTTGACCTGAATGAGGCAGTCTTGTTGGCTCCGAGAAACCCCCCTGCCTTAGGGAGACCACTTATAGTCATGCATGTCAGTCCCTGAAAACAGGGTCTGTAGAGTGGGATATTCCCCCTGCTACAAACCATAGGAGACTCTCCAGGGTTCACTGGAGCGTACATTAGATCCTTAGTTAAAAAAACAAAAACAACAACAAAAAACTGACCACCACACAGACTTGCCTTTGTACTTTCCAGGCACAAAGCAAGGAGGACTGTGAGAATGTGCTCTGAAACTCAGGAGGAGGCAGGAACATTAACAGCCAAAACCCGGTCTCTAAGTGTGAACCTTGGTGAGCCAAAACCATTGGCTGGTGTGGTGGTTTGAGCTCAGAGGGTAACTGGGCACCACGCACCGTTCACTCACCCCTTCCCGCCTCAGGAATGGGAAGGAGAAAATGAAGCATAAAGGCTCAGGAATCCAGAGATGAACAGGGAGGGATGACTCACTGTCGTGGTTTAGGCCTGGTTGGCAGCCAAACACAATGCAGCAGCTCTCTCTCCCTTCCCCTCCGGCAATGAGAAGGGACAGAGAGCCAGGCTTGGGGTTCAAGATAGGACTGGGATGGGGAAAAGTCCCCCTTTTATGATCACGAGCAAAAGGCAGACTCGTTAGGGGAAGCAAAAAAGAGCATACATTTATTACAGACACTAACAACACATAACAGAGTAGGACAGTGAGAAGCATCGCCACATCTTGAGAACACCTTCCCCCCACCCCTCCCTCCTTCCCGGGCTCAGCTCTGCTCCCGATATCTCTACCTCCTCCCCCAGGGGCGCAGGGGCAGGGAATGGGGGTTGCAGTCAGTGCTGCCACTTCCTTCATGTTCGGTGAGGGGAGTGTCCAGAACTTGTTCCCCCCTGCTCCATCGTGGTCCCCCTCTCACAGCAGACAGTCCTCCACAAACTTTCTCCGACTTGAATTCCTCCCATGGGCCGCAGCGTTCCCCACACTGCTCCGTCATGGGTCACTAACTTCCTCCGACTGGATTCCCTCCCACGGCTGCAGCCCTTCCCGAGCTGCTCCGGCGTGGGACACCCCCGCATGCTGCAATCCTCCCAGCACTGAATTACAGCAGCGGGGCTGCCTTTTCCCATGAGACCCGGCCTTCTTCGGGCACAGAACCTTGATCATCCGAGCAGGAACAACAGGCTGTAAATCAATGTCTGCTCCACCGCAGATCTCCATGGGTGGCAGGGGGGGCCGCGCTGCTGTCTCCCCACAGGATACAGGGGGGTCTCTGCTCCGGCACACCTCCCCCCTCCTTTCTTCCTCCGTTCCTCCACTGACCTTGGTGTTCATGCAGCTGCAGCAACTCCTCCTCACAAGTCCCACTGCCCGTCACCACGTCCCTTCTTAAATACGTTATCGCAGAGGCACAGCCGATTGGCTCAATTTCCCAAACAGAAGTGGAGCTGACGTGGAGCTGGGGGAGCTTCGAGAAGCTTCTCACAGGGGGCCGCCCCGATAGCCCCCTCCCCTGCCACCAAAAACTCCACCACTCACTCAACCCAGGACACTCACGCATTACAGTCACAGGCAAAAGAGAGCTGTTAGGAGAAGATAAAAATAACATCCCTTTAATTCAAACACTAATGAAGACAACACTGAACAGCCAAGATGGGACAAGTGAGAAGTGCCACTGCATCCAAAAACACCTCCCCTCTTTGTCCTTCTCGTAATTCCTCCTCCTGATTCCCCAACCCCCCTCCCAGGTTCCCCTTCTTAAATTCGTTCTCGCAGAGGCGCAGCCACCGTCACTAATTGGCTCAGCCCTGGCCAGAGGTGGGTGCGACTTGGAGCTGCGGAATTTTGAGAAGCTTCTCACAGACCACTGCTGTATCCCTCTGCCCCGCTACCAAAACTGCCCCCACAGAAGCCCAGCACGGCTGGCTTTGTCAGAAAAGGAAAAAGAAATGAAAAAAGATGCACTACAGGCACTGTAGGGTATTATCAGTGCTCAGAGAAACTTCAGTTTAATCATTGGACTTATTAACATGGAATATGATTTTTACATGAGAAAGATATTATGATGTATATATTTTCTCCCACAATGCAGCTTTACGAATTTAGTAGGTTTTGGTGTTTTTTCTTGATGCCTCACTCCCACCTTTTCTTACCCCCAGGTTATGTTCACAGCCTGTGAGTTGGGGGTGTTTGATCTTTTGCTGGAGTCTGGGGAGCCTCTCTCTTCAAATGCCATTGCTGTGCGCTTGGGTACCAGCACCACAGGGATGGAGAGACTGCTGGATGCCTGTGTGGGATTGAAGCTCTTGGCAGTAGAGCTGACACAAGAAGGAGGTAATAAAGGCAGAAGAAGAGGAAGAAACTGTAAGAATTCAAGCTCTGATGGTTTTGAAAGTGAGGCAAGGTGTGTAGGGAGAGATGATATCTAGTGTTAGGCCAGTTACCACAGCTGGAAGGAGGACAGAATCACTTGGGAACGCCACCCCCCCCTTCAGCTGAAAGAGAAGCAGCAAATGTCAGCATGATTAAAGGTGTAAAGTAAAACTCAGGTGAAGGATATGTCCTTAAATTTCTTTGTGCTAAAGCTTCAGGTGACCTTGGAGAAGATATTCAAAGTCTTAGCAGAGCTGGTGTCAAAAAAACTGAGGTGTGGGTATGATTTTTAACATTAAAACAAAATGCCAGGGTGGATGGGCCACAGCATGACTTAAAAACACGTTCTGTTTTTCTTTGGGGTTTTACCACCCTGTGAAGTATTTTGTTTAGGTTGCTGATCCAAACTGAGAGGTGATACAAGTTTGTCCTTGCATCAGAGATGTTGAGTCCACGCTGTCAGAAGGGATCTGTGACTATCAGAGAGCTGGTCAGGACTAGCCAGAGTCTTGCAAGTTGTGTCCCCTGCTCTGGCTTGGGCTGCCTTGCCCTGTTTCAGGGCTTACAGTAGTTGCCCAATGAGTTCAGGGAGAGCAGGATCTGTCTTTATTTTCCTTTTGTATACCAGTCCTATGGGCGGGTGATGCAACTGCTGATGCATTGGAGGAAGCGGGGGAGTTTTCTGAGTCTTTTAAGCATTTATCTGTCCTCAGAAGGTCCTGCCCTAGCGAACTGAGAGAGGGTATATGGTTGGCATGATGTCTTGGGGACTCGTCTCCTGCTTGCTGACCTTCTTGATCAGAAAAAAAGATTTGTCTGCAAGAGCTTCTTATTTAAATAGAGCATAACAGAAGCTTTTTTCTGATAGCAGAAGCCTATAGGTAAGTGATGAGACTCGTAAGGTATTCCTCTTGCTGTTCTTGAAAGAAATGTTTGGTGCTGGAGTAAGTGTAGGTAGATAGTGTTTACTCACATTGAATGGTGCAGCACACATTTCAGCCACCCTCACCCACCTGCTCACTGTAGTGGAAGGATTGACCGTAGAAGCAATGCGATTGCGTCTTTGGTCATATAGACATCTTCTGGTGATGAATACCGTGCTGTACAATAGGCTCGGCAAAATGGTATGTCATACATGTTAGTAAATATATTTATTTCACCCTTTAGCCCTCTACAGAAACACAGAAATTTCCAACGTCTACCTTACAAAATCAAGTCCCAAGTCTCAGTATCATATTATGATGTATTACTCCAATACTGTCTACTTGTGCTGGCACTACCTGGCTGATGCTGTGAGGTAAGGAGGGTTGTGCTCTGCCTGTTGCAGGCTGCTCTGCAGCATCTGTGTAGCTGCTCTGAGTAGTGTGTTTCTGGGGAAGGGCACGAGGAAGATGGTGGCTGGTTCTCAGAAAGACAAAAAACAACAGATCATTGTGGCTGTTAACAAGGCCAATATGTGCTCTCGTTTATTCATGTTTTCCATTTGTGTGTGTTCATGTTTTCCTTTTCCTTCTGATGGTAGAGATGATCTAGGAATCAGATTTCTGTGCATTTGACATTCAGGAAAGCACTTGGTCATTACAGTGGCTCTTACTTGAGGAAACATCAGCTAAGTAAATGATGAGTAATAATGGCTAAGGATAGTTCTGTTACAAAGGAGTAGTTTATAGGGGGATTTTATAGGATTAGGGGGTTTATAGGAGTGGTTTAATATGAGACTGGAGTGTCCCTTGTTCCAGTCCGTGCAACTGATGATCAAACACGGTGTGTACGATGGTGATAACTGCATGCACCAGTGTTGTACCTTTACCTGAGATGTGTTCCCATCAATCATAGAACGGTTGGGGTTGGAAGGGACCTTAAAGATCACCTAGTTCCAACCCCTCTGCCATGGGCAGGGACACCTTCCACTAGATCAGGTTGCTCAAAGCTCCATCCGTCCTGGTCTTGAAAAGAACCAGTCATTCTGGGGAAAGGTTGAGAAATATATCAGTATATGTTGGCGTGGCAAATGAGGCTTTACAGCCATTACAAACAGGCTGGCATATATTCCATACAAAGTTGATCACCTTCACAGTGAGGTGTGTTTGGGGTAAAAGAAAAAAGAAATCCACACTCATATGCTTTTTTTGGTTGATATTTTAGAGAAGGAAGAAACCAATATGAAAGAGCTTTTGGCATTTCATCTGAAGACTCTTTTGGAGCAATGTACAGGTAATGATTAGTGTATTTATAGAAATTTTATTCTTATTACTGTAGATAAAATTAATGTTTTTAATTATAGTTCAGGACAATGAAATATGGTGATGTGAGAATCCCACTCATCAGAACCATTATGCAGTGTTTTCTTTTCTCAACAATATCCATTACTGGGACACTGTCTGATATTTTGAACAGAAGTTTATCATTTCCTATATGAATGCATAGCTGAACACTTCTTCTACAGTAAGACTTAAGGTAGGTTTATATGCAAAGAGAATGTATTCTCTGTCAATAAAAACAGAGATTAGTGTTTAAGCTAAAACCTGAAATAACAGTTGTATGATAGGCATCACCAAGGATATTGTAAGTTACCTTTTCTATGCGCTGTGTCTGTTTGCAATTCTAGATCGGAAGAAGAAATGTTGAAATTCATGGCTGGCCAGAACTCAGTATGGAGTATATGTGGAAGAGATGTTCTTGCTGCATTTGACCTTTCCCCTTTCACACAGATCTATGACCTGGGAGGTAAGCATCAATAATCTTTAGCAAACCTCTGAACCATCTACTTTTACAAGCTCTGAAAAGAAAATTAACTCTGTCCTGGTTTTGGCCAGGATAGAGTTAATGTTTCTTCTTAGTAGCTAGAATAGTGCTGTTTTGGATTCAGTATGGGATTTGGTATGAGAAAAATGTTGATAATACACTGATGTTTTCGGTTGTTGCTGAGATATCAAGGACTCTCTAACCCCCCACGTCCTGCCCGTGTGCAGGTGTGTGAGAAGCTGGGAGGGAGCTCGGCCAGAGCACCGGACCCAAACTCACCAACGAAATATTCCATATCATGTAACGTCACACTCAGCATGTAAAGGAGGGTTGGCCGGGAAGGAGAAGGTTCTCTCACTTTTTGTGATTGTGATTGCGGGATCTTGGTATTTTGGCATTACTATCTGGGAACAGGCTGGGTATTGGTCAGTGGGTGGTGAGAAATTGCATTGTACATTGCCCGTTTGTACTTTTTTTTTTTTTTTTTCCATCCCAGCCAAAACCAGGACAAACTTCTATGTTATACGATGGACAAGACATATCTCAGCAATAAAGGGAGCATTTTACTGATTTGGTTATGTTTAAAAGAGAAATGTGAGAGTGGTGAGAGCATGAGGAAGCTGAATGCTTTTCTCTACAGTCTCATTTGTGTGAGTGGTGGTCCATCCCCTTGTGTACGTGGCAGCTTTGGCATTTTTTTGTGCCTTGCTTGATACGTTCTTCCAGTACCAGACTCTTTCCCTCCTGCCCTTCAGACAGTGTCATTGAGATATTGTCTGCAGCCTCTTTCCCTGCAGGGCCCCACTGTCCCAGCACCACTGAGCACTGCCAGGATTCATGGGGCAGGTGGGCTCCATCACCACTTCCCCCCCGTGCCTGGTTTAATGGCTCTGTTTTTCCGTTCCCACCTTCCAGCACCCACAACTGGCTCTGGCTGGGAGGGTGTGTAAGACCTGTAAGGGCTGGGCCTGACCCCACAGGCCTGGGTGCTGAGCACCCTGGATCTTCCTGCAGAGCAAACGGAGACGGTGACCTCTCCTGTCCCTCCTCTTCCCTTTCAGCAACATTTGGGGAGCAAATGTACTTTGCCAGCTTCCATGAGTCTGAATGCACTGTTACCTGCATGGCTTCATGGGGATGTTGCTGAACAGGTTGGCTTTGTGTCAGTGTTGACCTTCTTTTGCTCTCCCCAAAGGAGGTGGAGGGGCTTTGGCCCGGGAGTGTGTTTCTTTGTACCCAAATTCCACGGTCACAATTTATGACCTGCCGAAAGTCGTGCAAGTGGCCAAAGAACAATTCGTTCCTCCTGAGGAGTGTCGGATCGCTTTCCATGAAGGTAGGTGTGGACAGCAGTGTAGTGTTGTCACAGCTGTTGCTCCCAAGCCCCTTGTCTCTGTTCAGAGGTGCCACACTGGATGCTCAGTTCTCCAGCTGCCCCTTACGTGGGCAGAGTGTCCCAGACTGTGGCCCCCCCAGCCCTGGTCTGCGGTTCATTGCAGGGCTGTCCCAGTTGTGCAGCTGCCTTCTATCGGAGACAGTCATTCAGCAACCCAGAAGCTCTTTACTCCTCAACAGAACTATTTGATTTCTTCAGAACAATGGTACTTTAACAAAAAAAAAAAAAAAAAATGTCCCGCAACTTTTAAAAACTGCCACGCCACATTATAAATCTTCCTAACACTCCCTTTTCTTTTGTGCAGACTTCCTGGCACATATGCAGGATGTCAGGCCTGCTCCGAGCCAAGGGGTTTTCCTTTTCTGGTCACATTTGATTGACTTTCAAGTCCTAAGATATTTCAGGCTTTGAATGTGGGTGAGCTAGCCCATATTCCTCTTGTCCAGTCCATAGATCTTGCATGGTCTTTTCACCATCTGTGGTGAAAATGAGTGTAGGGAGATTTAATTTTTAATGTTCCCAGAAGCCTTCGAAGTGTTGGAATGACTGAATATTGCTTGAAGCTCAGAGAGAGGAAAGAAGGCTTGAGGAAGGAAGGGAGTATATAAAAACAAAGGTGGAGAAACATGGGAAATGTTACCTGTGCCAGTGGTGCAAAGAAATGGGAGTGTAAATGGCAAAGATGCAAAGAGAAAAATCTGAATGCAGTACACTGGGTGCTGAACAAAAGGCATGATGATGAAGCTAGTGCTAGGAGGTGAGAGATGTGAATTTTTTTCCTTATGACTTTATGATATAGCTCTGTGGTTACTGAAGGTCTTTGAAAATTTTCTTAGATAAGGGAAAATTCTTTCCTTTATTTCCATGACAGATATCATGAGAAACTGTCTTCTCTCCTTAACACTTTATGAATCTGAATTCCGGTCATTGGAGAATACTTAGAGTCAAATGCTTTCCTGTGTATCAAAGACTGATTCAGATGAGCTGCTGCTTTTAAACATTTCAGACCAACTTGAGATTGAACAAGAACAAAATCCTCTATGCAGTTGCTCAGAGGACTTTTACTTGGTGACTCTGTTGCTGTCTGATGTGGGTGATGGACTCGGCAAGCCCAGAGTCTTTAGAACTGGACTGAACTGAAAATATTTGCTTAACTCAGACCTCTGTTATTTGAGGGGTTTGTGTCATACATGTATTCTTGCTTTACAGGAGACTTCTTTAATGATTCAATTCCAGAAGCTGAACTGTATATTTTATCCAAGATACTGCATGATTGGGATGATGACAAATGCAGGCAATTGCTGGAAAAAGTCTACAAGGCTTGCAAACCTGGTAGGTTTGAGCTCTTGAAGAGCAGAGAGACTCTTGCCTATCAGTAACGTGAAGCACACCAGTCTTGATGTTCAATTGGGGTGGCACAGTTTCAGTGCAGGGGTTTCTTGGTTTAGTCTTGTCCTTTCCTGAGCCCAGACATGTACAGCTGAGCCAAACAGGGCCTGGTTGAAGTTCTCCTTATCTGTCTTTCAATTTTAGTCTCCTTCTATACAGGGTCTCCTCTTTCAAAGCATTTAGGTGTAAGGATTGGGGATTTTAGGTATTGTTTAGACAAGTGTATACCTCCATAGTAAAAATCCTATTCAGCATCACATTGAACCGTTGCAGCTTTGAAAACACTGCGTACAGAGCTGGGCTCTCAGAAAAATCAGTAAGCTCCTGGGGATTTCAGCTGGGGGAAATGGCAGTTTCCATCCCAGCCACAGCATCCCCTTCAGCCCTGGTACGTCTGTACCGAGGTAGCCAAGCAGAGGCATGCGCCAGTGCTTTTGCTCTTTTGCTGTCTTGTGTGATGCTGAAATACGACTTAACATAGAAGCTGCTTCTTCCCGAAACTAAAGGTTAGGATCTAATCATCCAGCTGAAAACCATCTCGTCTTCTCAGAGCTCAGTGTGTGTTTTATTTCTCTTTATTCAACCAGGCGGTGGAGTGCTGGTGGTTGAATCGCTTCTGAATGAAGATAAAAGTGGGCCTTTAGAAACCCAACTGTATTCGATGAATATGTTGGTCCAGACAGAAGGAAAAGAACGAACAGCAGCAGAGTACAGCCAGCTCCTCGAGGCAGCTGGCTTTGGAGAGTTTCAGGTCAAGAGGACTGGAAAACTCTATGATGCTGTTTTAGGAAGGAAATCATAGTGCCTCTTTTATGTACCTATCAAGATAGGAAAAGTGGATAAATGTGATATTCTCTTCTTACAGGGGAATCATCAACTTAGCTTTTCATTAAGACTTCCAACATTTTTGTAAGCTGATACATTGTCAGGAGAATCGGTAATGATAGATCTTGAGCATGCACAGACTGTGAGTCTGGCAACCTGACGAAGGTTTGCCCTTGGATCTGAAAGGGTGAGAAAGAAATCAACACTTGTTCCACAAGAAATAACCCCCAAAAGAAATGTACAGTGTGTCTGCTTCAGTTTTTTAAATTCTTTCCAATTTTAACACTGTATCTGATAAGAGCAAAGCTGAATTTGTATTTGAAATCCTGCAAATTAAAACTGATCCCTGTAGTGAGCTCTGATACCTGAATTTTTATTCCTGGGGAATTACTATAATATAAACAGATCAAATTATATCTCCTTGTGGTTAGTCTTTTCAGAGTTGCAGGAAAAATTCTGTCTGAGCCTTGGGGAATTTGGCATGAAAAATTATATTAATGTTTTATTTCCTCTAGATTTTGATTTAAGTTATGAAAAAGGATTCTGTAGCTTAATGACTGGCTGAAGCCCAAGGGTACTCTATACAGGGCAGGCCATGAGATGACAGCTGAGAGGGAGAATGATGCAGCCAAGTCATTCAGTTATGCACTGTGGAAGTCCTTATTGCATGTCTCTTGCTATTTCTTTAATCATTTGATCAAGCACAACCTGCCATAACCCACCTAGTTCTTGGAAAGAGAATTACAGATTACTGGAGTGAGAAACAGTTGGAGAAGGCACCAGAAAATCACTCTCTGTGGTTGTGGCTTGAACACTAATTGCATTTGCACATTAAACTGAATAATAGAGGAGCTGAGATAGTCTTCTCAGTAGCCATGTACAGGAGCCTCCCTCTCCCTTGACTGTGGGAGAAGTGTAGGGAGAAAGTAGCCCCAGCAGAGAAAAGTTGGCCTTTTGTCATGTTTTGTGATATCAAAATCAAATCACAAGGGAATAATGGCCCTTCTCAACCTTAAAAGCAACAGGGCACGCTTCATGAGCCACCATGCAGGCAATGGGTTTATGCTCAAGTAGCACCTCGCCCTGTAGATATCGACAGGCTATTGCAGGAGTTGGGGCAAGTGGTTTTGGAGAGTTTCCGTCGGCTGCAGTCACCGTGTTCCCTACCTGCAAGTTATGTGGCATGAAGGTGACTTTGCCAGGAGCTGCAGCCTGTGAGTAATGTGTTCTGAATGCTTGCTCGCTTTCCAGACAATGTGCGGTGTTACATCCTGCAGCAGCCAGGCACGAACACAAATAATGAAATGAGGCTGACTCAGGTCTTTGTTGATTCTGTACACACCTCAAAAAACCCAAATGTTCAGAAATGTTGCTGATTTCACTGTACCAAGCCGCCAATGAAGTATTCTGGGGGAAAAAACAAAACAAAACAAAACTCCTGTCTGGACTTTCTCTGATACGTTTTCCCCCCCCAAAATTTGCATGCATGCCCATGGACTGCTGGTTGTGCGTTGGAGTTGCAGTTTCCTAAGCCAGTAGACAGGCCAGTCATGGTCAGCATGCTGCAGCTGCCTATATAAACTGACACATCTTATAACCTTGATGAGTCAAAAAATTCCTGTCTCAGCTGGTGTCAGCGGTAAATCTGCCCTTGACTGGAAAAAAAAAAAACAAAACAAAACAAAAAAACAAACGTGAGCAGGCTGTTTGTATTTGTCAAAACAAACTACTTAAATACAGTACTTGTGCACTGAGTTGATTCACAACATGCTCTGCATGTCATTAACTTAGCAGTGAGTGTCTTGGGCACAACCTGACTAGGCAAGATGCACATCTGGTTCTAACATGACTTTTTAGCTGTATCAAGGTTCAAAGATGTTGGGTCTTTAAAGAACAGGATTGACCCGTCATTACCTGGAATACATATGAAAATGAATGAAGTGCAGAATGTTGACTGCAGAATTTGAAGATCATTGGTATGTAAATGACTTTTAAGGGTCAGATGTAATGCCATATCAGAGAAGCTAAATGCCAACACACTGATTACAGTGGGCTTTCCCTGCCTGTGCGAAGCAGAACCTCCAGCTGGCTCTATAGCTTCAGCAACTCATTCCTTATCTGTTAGTTGGCCTTTTAGCATCCAGATTCTGGGGGGATGCAAAAGCATTCTTGGCTACTCTCTTATGCTGGATGACCAAGGAAATACTGGAGTATGCAATAGGAAGATACTAAATTTCTATATTTACCTTCAGACACAAGACCTTTGAAACCACAAAATAATGTAGTAAGAGGATTTGTGCTGTTTCCATTAGACTATACTTATTTATATACTCAGTTCTGAATTTCCTATTCTTCACCCTCCCTGCCCTTTCCTCCACAGTGTTTAACTTCCTCTTTCTTTAGAGCCTCTCTTTTCTCCCATGAGTCTTTGACCTTTGTCCATCCTTTAGTCCTTCCTTCCTGACCCGAATATAGGTTTATCTATGAGCACAGAACAAGTCAGTGCCAGAGTAAGAGAGTAAACCCAGAGTGCTCTGAGCTTAAGACCTGCCTTGACAAAGCAGAGGCAAATCTGGTCTCATCAGAGCCTCTTCCCTCTTTTTTTCCCACATTTTTTTCTTTTTCCTTTTTTTTTTTTTTTTTTTTCTTAAATAACAAACACTGTGAAGAAGACCTGAAGCAAGAGCTTGTTTCTCTTTGATCACACACACAGCTTTCATTTTACCTATTAAATTGCCTTTATCTCAACCCATGAGTTTTCTCACTTTTACCCTTCCAATTCTCTCCCCCGTCCCACCACAGGGGGAGTGAACGAGCGGCTGGGTGGGGTTTAGTTGCCGAATGGGGCTAAAACACGGCAACCTGCAAAGGAGCCAAGTCCAGGATGCTCTACAATGTCTCCTGAGGTGTATCAGTGAGAGGTGCACAGTCTTGCTCCCAGTACCCACAAGCACATATGCGTTCATGGGTTCCTTGAATATGACCATGGTCTCTAGTTCCATCCGATCTTTGTGCCTTGCCAGGTCACCAACTCTCACCTCTGGTCTATCCAGACCAAGTGGGTCTTCTGCTCAGCCAATGTCACCTGTGGCCAAGGCCCCAGCATCTGCTAGAACATCCAGGTGCTTGGGTTAGCCATAGCCCTATGGAATCTGTGTATAGCAATATTAAATGTATATTTTTTTTTTTTTTTTTTTTTTTTTTCTGATGGCAGTGTTTTATTTTTCAGTGGTAAATAGATCTGGACTAATAATGATTCAGTTCTCAAGACTTCATTAGACTGGATGAGGTGGGTTCCCCTGGCTCTGTATGTGAGTGGTGTTACTCTTGCCTATAAGAGTGATTCTTGGTGTCCCACTGAGAAGAGGACTGCCTTTGCTGGTGAGGGGCCACTGGTCTTATACTAACTTTGCCTCATGTTGACTTCTCAGGGCTCCATTTCTGGCCTATGCGGCTTGTTATCTGGCTGTTTTGAGAAACTACCATCTGAAGCAGAGCTTGATAGCAAACGTCTCTTACTGTTTGTCATCCCACACTTAGATTTCCCTGTAATAACAAAGGCCTTGAAAACATGGGTGCAGGCTGAAGACAGGTGCCCCGGCATCAACAAGAACTTGCTGACAGCCATTGGTCTTTGAAGCAGCACAGCCTTGAGCACTGGAAAAAAAAAAAAAAAAAGCTTCAGATATAACAGACAAAAGAAACAATAACTATCCAAGAAAATAACAGTGGAGGAGCAAAGTATGGAACCACTGCCTAGAAAAAAACCAGCACGGTATGCAGTTGGATCAGGTGGTGGCTGGGGGGATGAGTATGTGCCAAAAGAGACCTAAAATGGAGAGGAGAAGAGTGGGAAATTGCCACCACGGGAACTCTGGTTGCAGAAGCACTGCAGGATGGTGGGAACCAGGCCCATGCCCCCAGAATCCATGACGGCTCCAGGGTCCAGCTCCCCCTCCCTCCACCTGCCTGCTCCTAGAGCCCCCTCGAGGGACCCAGGAACTGCCCACCCCTTGCCCTGGAGTGCGTGTGCTGCTCTAAGTGTGTGTGTGGTTTTCCTCACAAATTCTGCATGTTTCTGCCCTCTAATGCTCTAGTCCCTCAAAAAAAGCCTTGTTGCAAATCAATTTAGTTTTGGGTAAGAGCCACATTCTGAATTAAGCTCCAGCAGGGTTATGAAGAACATTCAATACTGGGGGTGAGGGGCTGAGGTGAGAGATGGTGGGGAATGCTTTCTGGATCTCAGTAAGGAAGGCCCATAACAGATGACTCAATAAAATAACTGTTTTCGTGAGAAAGAATAAGAAGAGGAATATAGATAACAAAAAAATTTTGCGTCCGTTCAGATGGCAGGCACCCATGTTCATGCAGCATTAGATGGATGCCAGCTGGATTTTCTCATAGTGTGTTGTACAGATCCTGTCCATGGAGGGAAGTGCATCGTTTTGGGTCATTTGAGTTATATAATTTTCTTACAAGAAAAAGGACGTTCTCATGAGAACTTGTTGCTGCCCTGTTAGATAAAGGCAAGGCCATGCTGGTGATGTCATCGCTGGCATAGGGAGGGAGCTGCCTGTGGGCTGCTCTGCTACTGAGCTCATCCTGCAGCCCCAAGGGGTGTGGGCAGCATGGCACGGGCCTGAAGACCACCCTGGCCATGCAGCACTGTGCACCATGGGCTTGCACCTGCTCAGCTTAGCTGTGATGTGGGTCACTACTTCCTAAATGTGCAATGGGCTCCCAGTCAGGATCAGTACATTCCACCCTTTGATCCACCTAGAATTTACCTTTCTCAAAGTGATTATAAATTACAGATTACATTAACAGCATACAGGTTTCTCAAGCCCTAAGTATGAGATCCAGTAGAGCAGACTTGGCTCCAAGACCACTGACTCCTTGAGCACAATGTCTTCTGCAAGGGTGCCAGTGGAGTGGCTCCCAGAAGGTCAGTGTGTTTCTAAAGAACTGGATGTTCTCACACCTTGAAACCTCTGAAAGGGTGAAGTATCCTTGTTCAGGTTTGCTGAAAGCAATTTGATCGTAACAGGATGAAACAGATTTCTTAAAATAGGAAATATGTCTGTCTGTTACATACTAGTGTGATCAGACTGTCAGGAGCTGACTAAAAGCACATAAAACTCAGTATTTCTTTCCAGTGACTCAGGGTGGGTTTTGCGAATGATTTAAGGTTCATGTTGTTAAAAAGGTACATATTTAGTCTTTATCCTGTGCTGTCCCTTACGGCTTTAAAACAGGTAGTGCTTTTTGAAATGGAATACAGTCTTCAATCAATAAACCTTTGGTGTGATAAATGAAGCAGTGCCAGTAGCACACGTTGCTGATTTCTTCTTTCAGCATTTATAGTACAAAAGGGAGACTGCAGTTCCAGGCTGTGATATGAATGCTAAGGATGCCAAAGTGCAACAGAACTGTTCACATCTCCCTGTTTAATAAAAAACATTTTTTTAAAAAATTAAAATCTTATGTTGGTAGGATTTAATTTTTAGTTGGAGAGTAGATAATCTAACACTACTATACAAACATTTCTTTCAGGCCTTTAGGTGTCAAAAGTGGTATTCAACAGCCTTGGACAACAAAGGAGGCTAAAAAGGCAATAAAAGTGATAGCATTAATGTGTGTAGGAGTAAATGTTAAGGCTCCAGTGTTACAGCTGCTGAGGGTAAAGATGTTTAATTGGCAAGAAGGAGTATTTTGTATGCAGGGAGAATGCAAAGAGGACAGAGCCAGGCTTTTTTCAGTGATGCCCAGTGACAGGACCAGAGGCAGTAGGCACAAACTGAAACACAGGAGGTTTCTTCTGAACATTGGGAAACACTTTTACTGTGCAGGTCACTGAGCACTGGCACATGTTGCCTGGGGAAGTGGTAGAATCTCTCACCTCAGAGATATTAAAAGGCTGTATAGAAATGGTCCTGGGCAACCAGCTCTAGGTGGACTTGTTTGAGCAGGCAGACTGGACCAGATGACCTCCAGAAGTCCCTTCCAATCTTAAACATCCTGTGATTCTGTGTGTCCAAATATGGATGGATTTAAGGTAAGATGTGTCTGGCAGCTCATTTTTAAAGAACAGTAACTCAGTGTTCACCTTTAGCTAATCAGTTTCATGCAGTGTCTTGAATAGTGGTAGGAAAAATCAGATTCCAACTGTCTATTGGTGCTGGGCAAACCAAGCTCCCAACCGGGAAGGAGACCAAGATGATTCCTAGAGGAAGACATCTCTCCAAGTATGGGCTGAAGATAAATGAGAGAGAGGGAAAGTTCAGGCCAAAGTACTCGTTACGGGTCCTGATTTGTCCCCTCCACATTGAAGCTGTTGGCTAAAGGAGGCTGGGGTAGGATTGTGGCCCCCTCTTGAACGTTGAGTTCAGCTACAGGCGAGTGCAGTGACCTAATGTATGTGGCAATATCTCCAGTGTGGCCTGTGTTCTAAGCAGGTGGTAAAACACAGCCTACAGACGGTGGGCAACAGCGGCAACCCCAAGTTCTATGACCCTCCAGATGGCTCCTATAGCAACCAAGGTGCCTGAAGTGCTGGCTGAAATTGTAGAGAGGATGAGATGGTTTATGATAATAGATTATGGAAGTTCATGGGCTGATCAGGTTCCCACCATAATGGGAAGGGCAATCAAGGGAAGAGCAGCAGTGCATTTAAAGATTGTTGTACCTACACTGCTTGTAAGGTTCAGCCTTCTGCAGAGGCACAAGCAGCAGAATTACGAGCTGGCTAAAATGCATTGACAACAACTGATCAAATGGGTCCAGTGTGGGCTCTGCTGAGATGACTCCTATGGAGGATGGCAAGCAATTGGGATACAGTCAGGTTTTGTAATGATATTATAATCCAAGACAGGAAAGCAGGCATGTAAAAGCTGGCATGGAGAACAGTCCAAGTAGTCTTGCCCTGGAAAGGCCTTATTTGGGTTACTCATGCATAGAAGAGCACTTTAGAAAAGAAATACAGAAGCTAAAGGGAATAATTTTGTTTTAGCACAGACCCCAGATGATACCCAGACCGCTCAAGAAGCCTTTTCATCTAAGGAGGGCATTTACAGCTCAAGAGGTTGTATTTGAAGACTGACAAGACAGAGGATTAGGTGGTTTAGTTATGATGTTGGAATTATAAATACACCAGTATCTTTTTGTATAATTGATCCTCAACCTTTGTATGGGTAGAAATATCCTGAATTATTTCACATTAATGACTTGTGTGCTAAAGAGTGTGTAAAAATCAACAGGCATACCATAAAACAAACAAACAAACAAAACCCACCAACCAACCAACCAAAAAAAAAAAATAAAACCTCCACTGCAGTGTAAAATGACCTACCCTAATCTGGGTACTGTACAATAAAAGTTTTGAAACTACTTTGATGTTGTTTATCTAAACTTCAAGGAAGTGGAGTCCCCACAGCTAGCTATTCCTTGGTTACATTTTTCTTATTTGCTGTATTGCAGGAAGGATAGCAATTTTGATGTGAACTATGTGATATTCACAACCATTTAATAGATTCAGTGAAGTTCGGGCAATAAAATGATCAACTAAAATTTTAGATGGAAGTCTAATTCTGTGTGGAGAAACCCAGCTATTCAAAATCGCCATGGAGAGTTGGAAAGTTTTCCACTTTTGGAGGAAAGAAAGGGAAAGATTCTGTCTGTTCTAGAAAAATGTCTGTAGCTACCCATAGCTCTAAAGAATTACTCTGATGCAAATGATACCTTGTCATTGTGGAATAAAAAAAAGTCTCTATCTTGTGTACTGTATCCTGTATGTTTTAATGATAAGGCCACACTAAGTTGAAAAAAACACACTTTACCAGAAATTATCAGGTGTTCTGCATACTCGGCCTGTACATTTTGTTCCTCTCAGATAGCTTTGAATTTGAAAAGCTGGAGTCACCATTTGTCCTGACCTGTCATGTCATGGCAGCCCCAGGGGTAGAGGACAGATAGAGAAATCCCTTAAAGTGCAGGAAATCCTCAAGCACAAGTAATTCCTCCCAAAGTATTAGGCTTGCCCCATGAGTCCAAATTCATACCAAGTAACTTAGAAAGCAGCTTTTTTCCTGAGACAGCAATGCCACCCCCACAGATCTGAGGTCTGTGGATGTCTTCCATCCGTATACCGTTGCAATGAAGCAATTTTGATGATGTGCAAGTCATAATGACACAATTGATCAATATTGGCAGAAAGCGATTACCCAAACTTTAACTCTGCATCCATCTGTCTGCTAATGGGCCATTGTTTTTGAAGCGTATTCAACAGCTGTAGAACAGAAGTGAATGCTTGACTAGTGTTGCTAAGGATACGTTAGTTATCAGGAAGTCACATCCTGAGTGCTGCCGAAACCAGCCCCTCCAATTTTGCCAAAGGACAGGATAATACCAGAGGGCCCAGGGCTATGAACTGAAATCACTGGTGATCAGTGGCAGGTAACTGCAACTGCAGCAGGCGTGTAGAGATGATTTTACAGCAGAATTTGAAAGCGTGTAGACTTGTGTAACAGACTAGTGCAGCTGCCCATGGTTGATCACATTGCAGAGATCTCTGTAGGGAGAATGTAAAGCAGCAATGAACCCAAATTACTCACTACTTGTGCTTGTGCAGAACTGGGTGTGTAGAATGGATTCCTCTGGTGCTTGCATTCTTACATTTGTAAATATTTTTTATTATTGCTAAAAGGAAGAGTACCTCCATTTTTCGTACGTCACCTGATACTGTGCTCTTGAGGCTTTTTTTGAAACTGAATGCACCATTCTGTCTTTAATCACAGCACAGGAAATTTATTTGACCTGGTGTTCCCTCACACACTTTATCCTCTCTGTACATCTCCTGCTGCCTCACAAGGAATTTGTAGATTAGCTGAACCAAACGCTTTGCCACAGCTGTAGGTTAAACTTTTGCAGGACTAAGGCTGCCTGGTTGGAACTCTGTTTTTACCATTAGCTAAGCTAGTCACATAGGCCCTCTGGCAGCTGCAAAGTGAGCTCTACCTGCTCTGGATGAGAATCCCAGGAGTGCTGTCCTTGAAACTAGGCTATTTGCTGTTCAACATGAAGGGGTAATGGTGTGGTAGCCCCACAGTTACCCTTGCCAGCAATCTCCACCTGCCAGCCAAGTGTCTAATGAAGGTGTTTTCACCCTCAGACCAGGACTTCCCTGCAATTCTGTGGATGACCATTGTCACTTAAAAGTTAGTGGGCCGAGGAAGTCCCTGGTAAAAGGAAGTGCTAGTAATGTCCATTGCTTTCTACTTTAACTGGTAAAAGACAGAGACTTAGTGAAAAGTTTTAGAGCTTTCTTTTCCTGTAGAACCATCTTTGGAATTCTTGTGGGGAACTGAAATGCTGTAGCATGATCAGTGAGAGTGGGTCTAGATTTGTGCAAATGAATGAACTCTGCAGACTCGCACTTAGCGCATGTGCAGATGGAAGTTCCTAAACAGAAACTGAGCTCGTGCGCTCTCCTTGAGGTGGGGACAACAGGGGAAGGTGTCCATTATTGTCCAGGCTTTTTCCTTTGCAGAAATGGTGTCTTGTTAAATGCAAGCTGCACAGATTCCAGGCTATATTGTCCAAGATGAGGAGCACTACATGTTTCTACAGTTAGGGGTTTCCTCTATTATTTTTTTTTTTTTTTTTTTTTTTTTTTTATGTTCAGACCTAGTATTCTGATAACACAGGAGAACCTGTGGTTTTAGAACCTGAGGAACAGGTACTGTTTCTGAGTTGTATATATTAGGATTTTTTGAAAGTTAAGGTTATGTAAGTACCCATAATGTAAAGACACCTGAGTTTTGAGATAGCTGGTTAAGGTCTATTCAGCCTAACAGGCAAAGATAAGAGACAGAAGCAGCAAGAAACCACACCTAGGTATAGAAACGTTAGCATGAAGGTGTTGAGGACAACAGTGCTAAACATCATAACTCCCTGGCCACTCAGTGGGGGACCACTGGAGCATGCCCTCAAAGCCATGAAAAGATTAATCACATCTTCATAGCTGAGAAGGGCAGAAACAAGATTGCCAGGGGGCTTATGAGAGAGAACAAACATCACAGGAAATTGAAGCGAGCTTGCAGGAATTACTATAGGAATTTTACTGTGGGGCTCGTGGGAAACTTACTGTATTTAGAAAAAGGGCCAAAGATGGGAAAAGGGAGAATTCAAAGTGGGTGGGGAAAGAACAAGCCCAGCAAAAGGGAGAGGAGGTGAGATACAAGGTATTGGACGTGTTTTGCAAGCTGCCAGTTAGCACGCCTGTCTGGCCAACCGCATGTCTGATCAATACAGATTGTCTTTTATTCTCATTAAACTCTATCTGCTACTATTGTCTGTTTCTTTTTGAGAAGTCTTCCAGCATCAAAAAGCCAGCCCAATGGAGTAGAGCTGCTTTTGAACCAGCCCCGAGTAAGCTTCTGCTTTGGTTTATGAACTCCTGGTGCATCGCACTGAGTTCAGGCTCTTGATGTTGTTCTGCAGTGATTTCTGTTTTGCTTGTTACGAGCTTTCAAGTGCTTGTGAAGTATCAGCATGTTAACCGACAGCTGAACTGACAATACAAGCTTTAATCTGCACTGCTTCTTTAGCCTTGCACTTGGTGATGGAAGAGCCAAAGAAACAGCTGAACCTGGTAGAAAAACCCACTGAAGCCAAATAACTTAGCTAACACATTTTGTAACCAGTGTGTTTCTCAGAAGCAGTAAGATTAAGTGGATCAGCTGGTGTGCTCTGTGCCTGGTGGAAAGAAGCTTATTTAAATAAAGAGGTCCAGAGAATCCGTGCCTCAGTGCAGAAAGAAAATGAGTTCCACAGAAGGTCTTGGCTATCCTCAAATCATCTTGCAATGCAGCAATGGATTTTTAATCTCAAAGGTAAGAAATATAACTCAGTCTTGGATAGATGTTGACTGGAACACTGAAGGAGCTCGCTTAATGTTTCTGAGAAGAAAACTTCATAATAAAGCATCCTAATACTACTCTGGCTTTAAACTTAGAATAGGCATGATACAATTCTAAAAGGAAAAAAACAAAACAAAACAACACAACAATAAAAAACCCCAAACCAAAAACCAACAGAGACAGACCTGACTCTCAAGATTGACTTAACATTTATTGAGACTCCTCTGATCTTTGGAGGCTTGGATAAGTAGACCTTGTCTCTTCATGAAGCTTTAAAGACACAAGGGTTTATAGCTGAGAACTTGCTGTCTGACTGCCTCAAATGTGGAAAGTTACCTTGGTGGTGGGATTTCTTCCCAATTGTCATTTTTGGAGTTTGAGAAACAATGGACTGACTTGAAATGCCTTTCTCTCCCCATTATACCATGCAAATAACAAGATTTGCCAAATATCTTCCTCCCTCCTCAAATTTACCATGTAGCAGACAGAGTTTGATATCATTTGTATATTATGTCCCTTCAGATGGAAGGGACTGTGAATACAGAGTGTGTTATAATGACTCTTTCTCCAGACAGCATATCATTAAGGCAGAAAGGCAGTAGTTTCAATTTTCTTAATGTTTGCTGATGCTGTTTTCCTGTGTGCACGTGCATTGCATTAAATTGTTCTATTCAATTTCATGTTTAATTTTCCTCATTTACAATCTACAATGCTTTCAAAATTCACATTCGTGTTATGTTTTTGAGAGATAATCTCAACCATGTTCTTACTGAAAGTTGTTGTAGTTTAGGCCTGGTTGGCAGCCAACCACAATGCAGCACCTCTCTCTCCCTTCCCCTCCGGCCATGAGAAGGGACAGAGAACCAGGCTTGAGGTTCGAGATAGGACTGGGACGGGGAAAAATCCCCCTTTATGGTCACGAGCAAAAGGCAGACTCGTTAGGGGAAGGAAAAAGGAACATACATTTATTACAGACACTAACAACACATAACAGAGTAGGACAGTGAGAAGAAGCATTGCCACATCTTGAGAACACCTTGCCCCCACTCCTCCCTCCTTCCCGGGCTCAGCTCTGCTCCCGATATCTCTACCTCCTCCCCCAGTGGCGCAGGGGCAGGGAATGGGGGGTGCAGGCAGTGCTGCCACTTTCTTTATCTTCAGTGAGGGGAGTTTCCGGAACTTGTTCCCCCTGCTCCATCGTGGTCCCCCTCTCACAGCAGACAGTCCTCCACAAACTTTCTCCGACATGAGTTCCTCCCATGGGCCGCAGTGTTCCCCACACTGCTCCATCATGGGTCACCAACTTTCTCCGACTGGATTCTCTCCCAAGGCTGCAGCCCTTCCTGAGCTGTTCTGGCGTGGGACTCCCCCGCATGCTGCAATCCTCCCAGTGCTGAATTACAGCAGCGGGGCTACCTTTTCTCATGAGACCCCGGCCTTCTTCAGGCACAGAAACTTGATTATACCAAGCAAAAGCCACAGGCCATAAATCAGTGTCTGCTCCACTGTAGATCTTCATGGGTGACGGGGGGGGGCCACCCTGCCGTCTCACCACAGGATACAGGGGGGTCTCTGCTCCGGCACACCTCCCCCCTCCTTTCCTCCTCCGTTCCTCCACTGACCTTGGTGTTCATGCAGCTGCGGCAACTCCTCCTCACAAGTCCGACTGCACGTCACCATGTCCCTTCTTAAATACGTTATTGCAGAGGCGCAGCTGATTGGCTCAATTTCCCAAACAGAAGTGGAGCTGGCTTGGAGCTGGGGGAGCTTCGAGAAGCTTCTCACAGGGGGCCGCCCCGATAGTCCCCTCCCCTGCCACCAAAAAAACTCCACCACTTACTCAACCCAGGACAAAGTA